CTCCCCACCTCCCTCCCATTTCCACCCCTTTGTTCTCGTCCCTGTGTCCTTCCTATTTGTTCCTCCAAATCCCTCCCCCTTTTTCCCCTTAGATTCCCTTTCCTCTCCCCTCTGGTCGCTGTCCCCTTGTTCTCTATTTCAGTGTCTTTGTTTTCTTTTTCTGCTTGATTGTTCGTTTTGTTATTTAGCTTCCTGTTAAAGGTGAGATCATATGGAATTTGTCTTTCAACCCCTGGCCTATTTCACTCAGCATAATGCTTTCCAGTTCCATCCATGTTGTTGCAAAGAGTAGGAGCTCCTTCTTTCTTTCTCCTGCATAGAATTCCATTGTGTATATGTACCACAATATTTTGATCCATTCATTTACTGACGGGCACCTAGGTTGCTTCCAACTCTTGGCTATAGTAAATTGTGCTGCTATGAACATTGTGGTGCATAGGTTCTTTGAAATTGATGTTTTAGGATTCTTAGGATATAATCCTAGCAGTGGAATTGCTGGGTCAAAAGGCAGGTTGATTTTTATTTTTCTGAGAAAATTCCATACTGTTTTCCATAATGGTTGTACCAGTCTGCAATCCCACCAACAGTGAACTAAGGTCCCCTTTTCCCCACAACCTCTCCAACATTTGTTGTTTGTTGCTTTGTTTATGATAGCCATCCTGACCGGTGTGAAGTAGTATCTCATTGTGGTTTGTACTTGTACTTGTGGTTTAATTTGTATCTCTCTGATAGCTAACGATATTGAGCATCTCTTCATGTGTCTCTGGATGTCCTTCTTGGAGAAGTGTCTGTTCAAGTCCTTTTCCCATTTTTTAATTGGGTTCAATGTCTTCCTAGAGTGGAGTCGTGTAAGTTCTTTGTATATTTTAGACATTAAACCTTCGTCTGAGGTATCATTGGCAAATATGTTTTCCCATACAGTTGGCTGTCTTTTTAATTTAATACTGTTTTCTTTAGCCATGCAGAAGTTTTTTATTTTGATGAGATTCCATTTGTTTATTCTTTCCTTTATATTCCTTGCTCTAGGGGACATATCAGTAAAAATGTTCCTGCATGAAATATCTGAGATTTTCTTGCCGATGTTCTCCTCTAGGACTTTAATGATGTCATGGCTTATATTTAAGTCTTTTATCCTCCTTGAATTTATTTTGGTATATGGTGTAAGTTGGTGCTCAAGTATCATTTTTTTGCATGTAGCTGTCCAGTTCTCCCAACACAAAAATATGGAACGCTTCACGAATTCGCGTGTCATCCTTGCGCGGGGGCCATGCTAGTCTTCTCTGTATCGTTCCAATTTTAGTATATGTGTTGCCAAAACGAGCACGTACTTTGTAAAATTTTCTTTGGTAACTGTCCAGATGTTTTACTCTGTAATTGATTTATCTAAGTTCTCAAGGTTTTAATTAAACCAGTTTGCTTTTTTGCCTATATTTTAAAAACATTTCATTTATGTTTTTAAAATTCTTAACGTATATTTTGGGCCCTGGCTGGTGTAGCTCAGTGGATTGAGCACAGGCCTGTGAAGCAAAGGGTCCCCAGTTTGATTCCCAGTCAGGGCACATGCTTGGGTTGCAGGCCAGGTCCCCAGTAGGGGACATATTAGAGGCAACCACACATTGATGTTTCTCTCCCATTCTTTCTCCTTCCCTTCTCCTCTCTAAAAATAAATAAATAAAATATTTTTAAAAACATATATTTTGGTGGAACAAAATATTCTTACTTTGTATTTTAGAAGAAAAAATCTACCAGAATTTCCCATTTATTGATTATCTTTCAAATCTTTAAAAAATTTTAAATATATTTTATGATTGTGCCATTACAGTTGTCCCATTTCCCCCCTTTCATTCCCCTCCACCCTGCACACCCCCTCCCACCCACATTCCCCCCCTTTAGTTCATGTCCATGTGTCACAAGTTCTTTAGCTTCTATATTTCCCATACTACTCTTGCCCTCCCCCTATTTTCTCCCCACCATCTATGCTACTTATTCTCTGTACCTTCTTCCTCTCTCCCCCTTCCACTTCCCTGTTGCTAACTTTCCATGTGATCTTCATTTCTATGGTTCTGCTCCTGATCTAGCTGTCCTCTTAGATTGCTTTTGTTTTAGGTGTGGTTGTTAATAACTGTGAGTTTGCTGTCCTTTCACTGTTCATCTTTTTTATCTTTTTTTTCTTAAATAAGTTCCTTTAACATTTCATATAATAAGGGCTTGGTGATGATGAACTCCTTGAATTTGATCTTATCTGAGAAGCACTTTATCTGCCCTTCCATTCTAAATGAAAGCTTTGCTGGATAGAGCAATCTTGGTTGTAGGTCCTTGCCTTTCATGACTTGGAATACCTCTTTTCAGCCCCTTCTTGCCTGTCAGATCTCTTTTGAGAAATCAGCTGACAGTCCGATGGGAACTCCTTTGTAGGTGACTGTCCCCTTATCTCTTGCTGCTTCTAGGATTCTCTCCTTCATTTTAATCTTGGCTAATATAATTATGATGTGCCTTGGCATGTTCCTTCTTGGGTCCACCTTCTTTGGGACTCTCTGAGCTTCCTGGATTTCCCAGAAGTCTATTTCCTTTGCCAGATTGGGAAAGTTCTCCTTTATTATTTGTTCAAATAAGTTTTCCACTTGTTGCTTTTCCTCTTCCCCTTCTGGTACCCCTATAATTCGGATGTTTGAACATTTAAAGATGTCCTGGAGGTTCCTAAGCCTGTTCTCATTGTTTTTGAATTCTTGTTTCTTCATTTTTTTCTGTTTGGTCATTTCTTTCTCCCTTTTGGTCCACTCCCTTGATTTGAGTCTCAGTTTCCTTCCCATCACTATTGGTTTCCTGTGCATTTCCCTTCATTTCAATTGGTTTGGCCTTCATTTGTTCCTCTAATTTGTGACTAAAATCAACCAGTTCTGTGAGCATCCTGACCATCAGTGCTTTGAACTGTGCACCTGATAGGTTGGCTATCCCCTGGTTGCTTAGAAGTATTGGCCCTGGGGCTTTGAGCTGTTCTTCCATTGGAGCCATTTTGTTTTGGTCTGATCACACCTGTTCCATAGTAAGGGGTGGAGCACCAGGGCAGGGCAACCCGATTGCTAGGTTTTGATGCTGGATGTGTGGGGGGAGGTCAGAGAGGGGACAATGGCATTTGTTCTGCTCTCTCTTGGATTTCAGTTCCCTCTGTGCTCCCCCGAGCAAATTGGGCCCTTTTGGTGCTGGTTCCCAGGTGGGTGGGCTTATGTACGTACTGGGACCCTGAGGGTCTCTCCAACGAACTCTCCTGTGAGGCTAGGAGTCTCCCCCTGCACCTGAACATCCACAAGTGTTTTCAATCAGTGCTTTTAGGCTTTATTTCCTGTCGCTGGGGCCCTGGGTTGTGCAGTCTGTCTTACTCGCCGTTTTCACCTGGTTTATCTGTGCCCAAGTGTATGACCAGGGTCAGACAGCCACCTTGCGCTCCTCACTAGGTCTGCTCATTGCCACCCTGAGCCTGGGGTCTGCCAACCACCACTTTTTCCTGCCGCAAACCCTCTCCGTGGGCCTCCGACTCCACCCCTCTTACTGGTCTGGATGAATGGTTGTCAGACTTCCATACAGTTCAATTTTCTGTCAGATCTTGTTGGTTTTTGCTTCTTAATTTTTGTTGTCCTTTTGGTTGTGTGATGAGGTACAGTGTGTCTACCTATGTCTCCATCTTGGCCGGAAGTCCATGCTAGTTATTTCTTAAGTTCTTTAACTTTTGAAGAAAATCACTATTTTTACCAATCTTACCAATGTAGGCATTTAGTGCTGTGGGTTTTTTCCATGTACTGTTTATACCAAGTCATGACCTACACCAAAAATCTCCAACTGGCAGACTCTTTGTGTCTCTCACGGAACTTAGTGTGCTCACAGTGAACACTCGTTGAACATTTTTGGTGGTAATAAATTGAAGAATAAAATGTTTTGGTTGCATTCTTTTTTTAAAAAATATTTTACTTATTTATTTTTAGAGAGAGGGGAAGGAAAGGAGAAAGAGTGGGAGAGAAACATCAATGTGTGGTTGCCTCTCATATGTCTCCTACTGGGGACTTGGCCTGCAACCCAGGCATGTGCCCTGACTGGGAATCAAACTGGGGACCCTTTGCTGCACAGGCCTGTGCTCAATCCGCTGAGCTACACCAGCTGGGCTTGATCACATTCTTTAGCCTATAATGAAGCAAAGGAGAAAAGTGACTGCAGGTGGCAACCCAACTGTTAGCCCCTTACGAGACCTCCTCACCGTGGTACCGTTGAGTTTTACCGATTTGCTGAACCACTTCCAAATGCCAGTTCTCTGAGGAGAGAATCCACTGATCCTTCTTTTTCCCACTTATCAGCACCCCCCCTCTATCCATCTGCAGTTCCCACCCTGTCCTAGGAATGTGTACAGTCCAAGAGTTCAACCACATCCTCACTAATGCTCTGAGTTTACACCCCCTACTCTCCTTTTACATTTTTTGGAGGTGAAGATTTTTGTTTTTATGTTATAAATATTTCAAACTTACAAAAAAACAACAAAGAACAAAATAATGCACACAAATGTGTCTACCACCCAAATCTAATAGAAGATGCCAATTAAAAAACCTTTTTATTATGCCAATAAGTGGTATCACTAACTACCCAGTTGCCTATTCCAAAACCCAGTTACTAAATTTTAGTCCTTTCTCCTGATTTCTGTCTGGTCAATGCAGGTCATGTTATCATAATTTTACTTTCTACATGTCTCTCCCATGGGCCCAGATCCTCTTTATCCCCATTGCCATTACTGAGCCAATCATCTCTCCCATGGTTTATTGCAAAACCCTTCCCACCACAACTGCTTCATCCAACCCCGCTTCCCTTCAGACAGTAAGCTCTGAGAGGCAGAGCTATGTTTATTCTTGATCTGCCCCTTAATCTCCAGCCCCAGCACTTAGCAGGAACTCAGGAAATATTTTCAAATGAATTAATGAATGTCATTTTACATCTTCGTCAACATGATATATGTCTTTTAGTAGTTTCTGTTGCAGAATGAACATGGAGAAACATAATTCATCTTTGGTGGTAGAACCATCTTACGCAGATTTGGTCATCAACGCAGGAAAAGTAACTTTTGGTGAAGGGAACAGAAACAAGCTGCAGAAAACTCAGAGAGACCAAGAGAAGGAGAAAGTTTCACAGGCTGCCTGTGCTTTACTAAATTCAGGAGGAGGAGTGGTTCTGATGGAAATGGCAAACAGCGATGAGCATCCTGTGGAGCTGGGACTGGATTTAGAAAAGTCTTTGAGAACACTTATTCAGTCTTCAGATTTGCAGACTTTCTTTGAGACCAAGCAAGAAGGGAGGCATTTTTACCTTTTCGTTAAATCTTGGAGACCTGACCCTTCCTCTGCAGACGATGCCATCAAACCCCGCATTTGCAGTCTGGGTACTTCGTTATACCATAGATCTGGCACCTCTGTGCTTCCCATGAAACCAAGAGAGGCACGTAATTTTCTGAAAAAGAAGGAAAAAGATGCAAAAACTTTTGAGAATGGACCTTCTAACAATATTCTCATGGAGTCAGAGGAAAATTTCCATAACTTGACTCCTGATGAACAAACCTTCCAAAGAAAAGAGCTTCATCGTGGTGAAATCCTGCCTTTTCCTGAGTCTCATTCTGTAGAGTTCAAACAGTTCTCTACAAAACACATCCAACAATACGTTAGAAACATAATTCCACAGTACATCTCTGCATTTGCAAACACTGGAAATGGCTATCTTTTTATTGGAGTGGATGATAAGAGCAAGAAAGTTCTGGGATGTGCTAAGGAAAATTTGGACTGTAACTCTTTGAGAAAGATAATAGAGGATGCAATAAACAAACTACCTTGTGTCCATTTTTGCCAATCCCAACGCCAAATAACTTTCACAGTCAAATTCTTGGATGTGTTAGAGAAAGGAAAGTTCTATGGCTATGTTTGTGCCATCAAAGTGCAGCAGTTCTGCTGCGCAGTGTTCTCGGAAGCTCCCAAATCGTGGTTGGTGAGAGGCGGGCAAGTCTGCAGACTGACCACTGAGGAATGGGTAGACATGGTGATGGACACAGACCCAGGTAAGAGGGGAAAGTAACTGTCCTGTGCTTTTTCTACCTCTAGTTCCTTCAAATCAGACAGGTTTTTCTTTGTTTCCTAAGGCTCTGAACTTCTCACACCCACTAAATTCTGTGTTTTTTGAGTCTTTGAGAATCCTGCTTTCCATACATGATAAAGTTTTGTTGGGTAATTATAAGCCCAAATCAATGTCTTAAAATAGGTAATTTTTCTTCACATCAGAAGATGAAAAGAAAAATTTGGGAAGATGGTTGCCTTATAGTAGCTCTTACTGCTTCAGGAATCATTTATTAAAATTTCACCCAAGCTGAGGAGCTCAGTTGGTTTAAGTGGTGACCCAGCACACCGAGGTTGCAGGTTCGATTCCTGTTCACAGTACATACAAGAATCAATCAATGAATGCATAAATAAGTGGAACAACAGATCTCTAAACATCAATAAATTAAATTTTAAAATAAAATTTCAGAAATTTTGTGAGCCAGTTGTTAAACATGGTCCTTATTAAAAATTATTATATAAACTTACAATTATATTAAAAACAAGTGTAATAAATACAAACTCACTACTACCTAATTATTTACTAATTTTAATACTATCTTTGCTTGTGAGGTTATTTACATCTATTTTATCTGTCTGGGGGAAATACTATAAAATGCTGTGCTACTGTGCATTTCTTCCCAACTCTGCACTGAGAGATATCACATTGGTAGCTCAAAATTGTTCATGGCAGGAATATTTGCACCACAGAAATAAACTACATGTATATACGTGTTTACTAAAAGAATGTGCTGCATACCAAAAAAAAGAAATAGAAACAAAATGCTATCTAGACATAGAGAGTGAAGAATTATACTGAATGAGAAGCGCATCCAAACTTCCAAATAATGTCTCTCCATTGTTGGGTTTGGGCAACCTCCATGTGCAATAAACACACTTGCCTTCACTAGGTGAATGGGGCATTGCCTTGCCATTATCTCTCAAGTCACACTACCCAGACAGTCCTAGAACACACCTCCTGGTAAGGTCTTTTGGTCGTGAAAAGATGAACTAACATGTCAGGATAACATGTTTTCTCTCTTTCTTAAGATCTTGAACGCTTCTCTGAAGACTTCGAGTCTCAACTGAGTCTGTCTAGTGGGCCTCCTCTCAGCAGACCAGTGTACTCCAAGAAAGGCCTAGAACATAAGAAAGATCTCCAGCAACTTTTATTTCCAGGTAGCAATTATGGTTTGCCTACTTGACACCAGCTAGTTTCTATGCTGGGATAAGGGGAGGTAAATGGTGATGCTTGTTTTTTAAAATCCAGAAAGTAACCCTTACTGGTGTGACACAGTGGGTTGGGCATTGTCCTGTGAATTGAAAAGTGGCCAGTTTGATTCCCAGTCAGGGCACACTCATGGATTGATGGGCAGGTCCCTGGTTGGGGGCGTGCAAGAGGCAACCAATCGATGTTTCTCTCACACATTGATGTTTCTATCCCTCTCTTTCTCTCTCCCCTCCTCTCTCTAAAAGTAAATAATTAAAGTCTTTTTAAAAAGGCTAAAATATATTTTTTAAAAGTACATATATCTGGTTACTCATTCCAGACTCAATAAATTAGAATATGGGATAATATCTCATTATGTATTTTTTATTGAGCTTATTCACATGATTTTGATGAACATCCAGATTGGATACCATAGTTGAACTAGAGGCATACACTGCACCAGGAGCAAAAAAAAAAAAAAAAAAATTCCCGACCTCTGCCATATTCTCCAGAGGAGTGCCTGTTATGAATATTAAATGGAATAAAAATTTATGTCAAGATGCAACACTACATAAAATGAAGATCAATTATGAACACATTTAGGGAGAAACAATTGTGTTTAACAGCACAAAATTTTGGTTCAGAAGCAGGGACAGTACCTGTTTAAACCCCTACAGTGTGACTCTATTCTTGTGTCACATAATTGTTCCTTGCTCCCGTGTGACAGAGGGAGACTCTTGTGATGGATGCAGTCTCGCCCTGATCTGTGAGTGCTGCCAGAGTTTTGCTTCAAGAGAGGCAGCTCAGGGCCTAACCTCAGGGCCTGAGGGGACTCAGTCGGGGACTGCAGGAGATTCTGCTGATAAAGGATTTAACATGGTCCATCTTCTCTGCGAACATTTAATGAGCACCTTCTTCCTGGGAGGGCTCCTTCTACCTCCATCAGTGGGGTCTGTCCAGAGAAAATTTGAGATCTGAATACTCTGAGAGTAGGAAGGGGAACAGAACTAACATTTCCCAAGCAGCTACAATGAGCTGGGTATTTTATGTTATTTTTTCTTCACCATAGAGAATATGGTTTTTGTTTGTTTGATTATTTTACAGATGAGGGAACACAGTCTTAGAGAAACTAAGGAATTTCTCAAGGTCATAAATGTAATGAGCACATAGATTTAGAGAAAGCATGTCAGGTTTTCAAGGCTTCTTTTCCTTTATTATAAAATAATAATATTTACAAAAAAATACACAAAAAATCTTTAATTTATCATCAGATTAATTACAATTGAATGCAACTATAAGAATTCCTTTTTATTAATTATAATTACTCATAAAATAAATACAATATTGACCTCAAATTTATAATTCCCTCCATATCTAGTGCCGTCGGAAGGTTTGCAATATAAACCTGAATCCCTGTGGCTGGAACTATCCTCAGAGCATGAAGGTCTGAAGAAATTAATTAATGAGCAAATACATCCTCTCTCCCAGGGAATTTTGATCTTTTCTAGAAGCTGGGCAGTGGACCTGAACTTGCCAGAGAAGCCGGAAGTCATCTGTGATGCTCTGCTGGTGACCCAGAACAGCGCCCCCATTCTCTATACCGTTCTCACGAAGCAGGATGCAGGCGGGCAGCTGTACTGCACCCGCACAGCCTTTACTTTGAAGCAGAAGCTGGTGAACACGGGTGGCTACACCGGGAAGCTGTATGTTGTGCCCAGGGTCCTCCAGCTGAGTCCTGAGAACAATCCAGACCCCTCTGAAGGGTCAGGCTCTCTAATTGACTACCCTCAGTCCTATAACCTTGCAGACACCCAGCAAATGGAAACCTTGCTGCAGTCCCTGGTGATTGTCTTACTCGGCTTCACATCTTTCCTGAGTGACCAGGTCGGCTGTGAGATTTTAAATCTGCTGACAGCCCAACAGTATAAGATCATCTCAAAAAACCTTCACAAGACCAGAGAATTGTTTATCCATGGCTTACCCGGCACCGGGAAGACCATCATAGCCATGAAGATTATGGAGAAGATCAAGAATATGTTTCATTGTGAGGAAAATGAAATTCTCTATGTTTGTGAGAACCAACCTTTGAGGGACTTTATCGGGTAAGCAGTTGGATCTTGTCACCAAATGAGGTTCAGTCTGAATTCATTCCATACTTCCCTCTACTCAAATCGTTTTGCTCCTTGAGAATAGGATGGTAAATGGTGCATAACCATAGTCCTGAGTACACAGGAGTATGAGAGAGTAACTTTCCTCCTTCATATACTTAGAGAAAACCTCCGTGTGTCATTTAAATTTTTTAACTGTTCATATATATTATTATTTTCTTTTTCCTTTTAATTTTTACAGTAATAAAAGTATCTGCTATGCGGTGACCCGGAAAACCTTCATGAGAACTGTCTTCAAAAATATTAAACACATCGTCATCGATGAAGCTCAGAATTTCCGCCTTGAAGATAAGGACTGGTATGAGAAGGCGAAAACCATCACTCAGACAGGAAAAGATAATCTGGGAATTCTCTGGATCTTTCTAGACTACTTTCAGACCAGTCACATTGTTAAGAGTGGCCTCCCTCATTTCCAAAACCAGTATCCAAGAGAAGAGCTCACTAGAGTGGTCCGCAATGCAGATCCGATAGCCAACTACCTACAGAAAATAATGAAGGAGGTCAGAGAAAATCCACCATCTAACATCCCCACTGAGTCCTTGAAGATGTTCCAAGAAGCTGAATGGGTTCAGGGTGTGCCAGGTGAGTGTAAGATTATAAAGCGCTTGAACTTGGATCAAGCGGTGGCGTATATAGCACAGAAATGCCAGTTTTTCTTGAAGCAAGGTTATTCCTGCAAGGATATTGCTGTGCTCTGCAGCACAGCAAGTGATATAGAAAAATACAAACCTAAGCTTCAAACAGCAATGAGGGTGACAAAAAGTTCTGAGTCCAATGAGGAAACTGATTTAATACAGCTCAGAAATGCGTCCGATGTCATGGACAATCACATCGTGTTGGACAGTATCCGTCGATTTTCAGGCCTGGAGAGAAACATCGTGTTCGGAATCAATCCACGGGCAGCTGAGCCAGCTGTTTTCTACAATCTTCTGCTCTGTCTGGCTTCCAGGGCCAGGAAACACCTGTATATTCTGATGCTAACCTAAGGAGAGCTGATGGAGACAAAATATTCTCTCTGTCATAGTTTCAGAAAAGGAATAACTTGTCTGCATCGTACAAGCATTATTTCTAACAATGGACCCTTGTAAGAAAACTGGCTTCAGAGTTGTTGCTATGTCCTGTAAAACGAACTTCTAAAAAGCATAATTCTGATTGATTCTATCAACTGGTACTTTTTTGCTTTGCTATTCATATTTAGATTAACATTCAATTGTTTTAAATTAAAAAGTAAGTTTTGTTTGCTAATCCAGAGGGGAATTGTTGATATTTCTTTCTTTGTCCGCACTTGGAACAGCAGTAAAACATACAACTGTGCACATTTGTTTTTATAAAGTGTCCAAGAATCTGTGGCCCCTTAAGTTTAACAAAGGGTAATGTGAATCGGACCATTAACCTGATTTTAATCTGTATAGCCCTGCTGTGTCCAACTTTGAGCTTCTTAGGTTGACTCAACAAGCCCCAGGTGGAGGTCCCTGAGTGGAGTGATGGGAGATTAAGAAAAACACAACACAATACAGGTTAAGGAAGGGCGGTGGCCAGGTGGGGCATTGTCCTTGGATGGAGAGACAGTGACCCTGAACATGGGCTCCGAGTTTATTTTGTAGGGGTCAGTGACATAAAAAGCTCAAGGAAGTTTCACAGACTTAGGGAGATGCTACGGGCACAGACTGTTCCGTTCCCAGGCTGTCTAAACAATAAATACGTCTTCTGCAAAAGTTACAGTCGCATTCAGCTGAAGCTTGCTATTTATTCCTGTAAAGACCAATTTCTAAAATAATTTACTATATTGTGCACTACATTAGCAAAAGAATAAGGCTCACCAGAAAAAATATGGCCATGAAGTAGAGGAATGTTGTCACACAACATTTCAACATGAAATTTGAAAAATGTTATGAAGCAACTGCAACTACAGGAGAATATCTCAGATCAGAAGTAAAGGAGCACCAATAAGACACGGCCCAACAAAGAGAGAATGGGAAATGTGCGCCCAGCCAGTCAAGAGAAGAGCAACCCACGCCCTGGCTGGTGTAGCTCAGTGGATTGAGTGTGGGCCTGTGAACCAAAGGATCGTGGTTCGATTCCCAGTCAGGGCACATGCCTGGGTTGCAGGCCAGTTCCCAGCAGGGATACACGAGAGTCAACCACACACTGATGTTTCTCTCCCTCTCTCCTTCCCTTCCCCTCTAAGTTTAAATAAATAAAATAAAATTTAAAAAAGAGCAACCCCAATGAACGATTTCAGAAGGGAAGCCTAGATTACAAGATGAACAAAGATAATCAACACAATAGATAACAGAATAACAAATCTAAAAATATAAGTGAGAAGAGCCCCAAAAAGTAAGTAAAGAGATTTTTTTAAAAGATTAGAGAGGAGACACATACGAAAGACGGAATGGATTTTCAGTGTGTATATAATTGGAGTCCTTCAAAGAGTGATATAAAGCAGTAGAACAGAACAAATATTTAAAATTACAACTCAGTAGAATGTGTTGGAGATGAAAGGACACTGGAATCTACACATTACAGGGGCCTACCACGTGTCTTGAAAACATGACATTGGGGAGTCCACGCTCAGCCTCCCCTGAGGCCAGTCGTGGCCATAGGACCATACACCTGCTGGACTATAAAGTCGGAGAATCCACTGGCAGCCCCACAAAGACTGTCATTCCAAAACGTATCAGGTTGGCACTGGCCCGCTCCGAAGAATGTTTCATGCCCGAAAAGAGTGGAGCCACACCAACAAAAGAGCCCCAGAAAGGAAGCGTGACCTTTTCTATGCAGCCATGGTCTGTTCAGTGTGGAGAGTACCTGTAAAAACTCAGGAGGACCAACCCCATGAAGGCTTCCTAAGGAACTTACAGGATGAACCTCATTCAACCAAGAGGTGATTGTAGAAACATTGGCACAAACACTGTCAGTGAACATCGACGATAATGAACTTAGATCTAAAATAAAAAAACAAAGTTGGAGGGAAAAGTGACAAAATAATATGTGATGGAAAATGTGACAATACAGAAATTGTATACTTACAGCAGGGGCAACACAGAAGGAGAGAGGGTGGAAAGCATACTTATTGCCTCGTAGGACATTTAGTCATTCCTCCTGCTCAGGTGTCCTTCTGTCCCCCACCCAGTGTGACTGTAAAATTTTCTTCGCATCCATTTTACACACTTCTTTATATGTTTATTTCTAGATGTTTTATTTATTTATTTATTAGATGTTATTCATTTATCTTTAGAGGGGAAGGGAAGGAGAGAGGGAGAGAAACATCAAGGTGTGGTTGCCTCTCGTGTGCCCTCTGCTGGGAACTGGCCTGCAACCCAGGCACGTGCCCTGACTGGGAATCGAACCACGATCCTTTGGTTCACAGGCCCACACTCAATCCACTGAGCTACACCAGCCAGGGCTCTAGGTGTTTTATTTTTTTCTTCCATTATATTTGCTGACTGCCTATTACTATTTTCTTATATAGAAAAAAAATGACCATTTTAAACTGGTAAATCTATTTGTAGAAAATTAAGTATATTTAAAGTATAAAGATTAGCATTAAAAACATGATACTGTTAAATTGGAGAGTACAGGAGAGGGAAATGAGAGGGGAGAGAATATTTGTATGAAACTTTATTAAGGCTCGTGGTAGGGAACTAACGAAGATGGAACCAAGAGTAGTACATAGAGAAATTGCTTGCCCGTGTAATTTTGCCCATAAACCCCTCTCCTGTCTTCTATCTCCAATTTGTGTTCAGTCCTGGGCCAAGTGAAATACATATTGCTTTGATTTGTTGCTTTCTTCTAAGCTACCCCTGGCAGAGAATGCTAATGGCCTCTCAATATTTATTCTTTCCTTTTTCTATAGTAACAGACATTTTAGGGAAGCAGGGGATAACCTGAGATTTTTAAAAAATATTTTATTTATTTATCTTTAGAGGGGAAGGGAAGGAAGGGAAGGAGAGAGCGAGAGAAACATCAATGTATGGTTGCCTTTCATGAGTCCCCCTGCTGGGAATTGGCCTGCAGGGAACTGGTCTGCAACCCAGGCATGTGACCTGACTGGGAATCGAACCACGATTGTCTGGTTCGCAGGCCCGTGCTCAATCCACTGAGCTACACCAGCCAGAGCTGATAACCTGAGATTTTAAAATGCTATTTTCTGGCCTCCCTTGAAGCCAGCTGTGGCCATAATGACCAAATTCTGGCCAGAGGGATATGAGCAGGAGTGCTGTGTTGAACATTCTGGAGGTGTTCTTAACCAGGGCTTCTTGATGGTCCTGTTTTTAGAGAAATGATATATTTTTCCATCAGCCAATTCATTTGGGCAAGGGACTACTAAGATGGGCCCTCAGGGAATCCCCTAGGCTTCTCAAATGGTTCTTTTTGGTCTTCCATGAAGCAGGAAACCAATTTCCCCTTCATAACCAGCATTATGTTGTGATTTATAAGAAATACATGTTTGGCCCAAAGTGACAGGGGCTGGTAGCAAAAGTTCCTTAAATGGGTCATTAGATGTGCTCATGAGAAGGGTGAGTCCCACTTCCACCCCTTGGTCCTTGGACTGGCCCATTCTGCCATCCCCTGTGTCCTGTGGGGAAGAGGAACCCCAGCCTGGTAGGTGCTGTCTCCCAGCTGAGGCTAACCATAGTCCCTCAGCAGGTTCTGGCTTCAATCTCTAAAGGCCAGCTGACTCTCGGTGATGGGTGCGTGGTAAAAGCAGGGACTGCTCGGCAGGTGGGCTCGGTGCTGTACCGTTGGGGTGCACTGGTGTGTTAAGATGAATTCGTAGTTTCATCCTAAGAATGCAAGGTTCGGTTTAACGTGTGACAATCAACGAATTGTAACTCAGCACATCCACAGATTAAAGGAGAAAAATGATATAATGGTCTCCATGAAGGTAGAAAACACTTAATGCTATCTGATGTGCATTCAAGATACAAACACACAGCAAACTAGGGAACTTCCTCTTCCTGGGTAAAGGTTGTGCAGAAGCTCCCACCGGGTATCACGGTCAGTGGTAAAATGCTGCGAGCTTGCCCTTGAAAGACTGGGGTGTGGATATACTAGGGGATCAAGGCTGGGAAAGAAGAAAGGCTCATTCTTGCAAATGCCCCAATAAAATGGTCACCACGTTGGCTTGCTTGGCCTTTGTGTAAGTAATTTGAGGGGCGGCCTGTTTGGGGGCAGGATGAAATGTAGGAAACGGCATCTCTGCAGCACTCCTGGGGGGCTGGCCAAGGAGCGCACAACAGGAAGGAGAAGAGGGAGCTGGGCTGGCGAGGGTGCCCCTAGACGACCAGCCGCTTCAGCCCTTCCCTTCTCCGCCACCAGGTACAACGGGGCGGCCCATACATTGATGTTTCTCTCCCTGTCTCTTTCCCTTCCCCTCTAAATTTAAATAAATAAAATTAAATTTAATTTAAAAAAGAGCAACCCCAATGAATGAGGCAGATCTGGGGGAGGGAGTCCAAGAGGGGCCCCAGTGCGACGAAGCTGGTGCATCTGCAACCAACCGCTCGGGCCCTGCCTTAGGCCAGAGAAGAAGGAGCGAGTTGAGCCAAAGGCCTACAGCTGGGAAAAGGAGAGGAAGGAAAAGGGGGAGAGGACAAGGAGAGGGCGAGCTAAGCGGGGAGGGGACAGGCTAAGGGAGGGAGGGAGGAGGAGCAGAAAGAGCCCAAGACCCAGTTTCCTTTTCTCCTGATTCAAGCCCCAAGGTCCGTCTGCCTCCCGGGTTCACCCAGGCAGGCCCCACCGTGGGTGGAGTCTCAGTTCGAATCCTGTCCTCTCCGGGCGTGTCGTGGAAATTAGAGCCACAGCAGCCAAAGAGCAGTGGCGGATTCTCCCTTCCCTCATTTCGGGGAGGGCTGGCCTCCTCCTGGGGAGGCGATGGACGCCGGACCGCACCCCGCCGGACCCCGCAGCCCGCGAGCCCGGTGGTCCAAGCGGGAAAGGTCTGGGGTCCTCTCCCGGCTGCGCCCCCAGAGCGCGGGGCCCTGCGAAACTCTGAACTCGTTTAATTTCTGATACTCTTGACTCCTTTTGCTCAACTACTAAAAAAAACAAAAACAAAAACAAAAACAAAAAAACGAAGAAGAAAAGTAAAAGCAATGCTAGGCACCCAGAGGTAACCAGGGATGTCTGTCCTCTCCGACTCAGGGAGACGCCCCTCCACCCGCGGGGGACCCCGGGCAGGGTGTCTCTTGGGCGCAGGGAATATGGGGACCGCTCCGCGTCTCCAAGACTGGAGGCTCCACACGGCCTCAGCTTCTCGCGGGCGCGAGGGGAGTGGGAGGAAGAGAGCGCATCCCGCACCAGCTCTGCGCTTCCAGAGCTTTCCTCTCCCGCGGGGGAAACCCGGCCTTTTAGCTGGAGATGGAATAGCAACTTACATGGAAACTACAGACTGTGGGGTCTGCGGGGGCGGGGGGAGAGCGGGGGTGTACACTCGACTGTGGCTGGGCCAGAAGTCGCCCCTGCCTGGGCCAGAGAGCGCTGAGCAGGGCACCAGGAGCCAGAGCGGAGTTCAAGGGCGTCTGAAGCAGGGCCTGTACAATCAGTACAAATGTTTGGGTGAGTCCTGGGGTGGGGGTGGGGGTCAATCTGTTATTACTGTAGTTGCATAGGATTCATTTTGGGGGCGTTAATATTTACATAGTGTGTCTTTATAACTTTTCTTTCATTTTTTTGTGTCCATATATTTCATGTGCATTCCCTTTAGATGGAATATATTTGAGTTTTTTAAGATTTCATTTATTTATTTATAGAGAGAAGGTGAAGGAAGGGAGAAAAAGCAAAGGAAACATCAGTTAGTTGCCTTTTGCTTGCCCATAATGGGGGAGCTGGCCCGCAACCCAGGCACGTGCCCCGACTGGGAATCGAACCAGTGATGCTGCCACACCCACGGAGACACACCAGCCAGGGCTGGTGTCCGTCTCAGCCTTTTAACTGGGGCATGTAGCCCATTTCCATCTGGTGTGATTCCTGAGGTGTTTGGGTGTATGCTCGCGCATGTATCCTTTGCTATTTGTTTTATAGTTGGCCTGTGCATTTTATGTTCCACTCTCCCTCCTCCTTCTGGATTAGTCAAATCTTCATAAATGCGCCATTCCCTCATTCGCATGCGAGTTCATTCTTCTGCCGCCGTACAAAGGCTATAATAGAAGTGATGACACGCATGTTTGGTCTCCCGCACGCTCACCTGGGTTATTACTTTTACCACTTCCCCAAGTATGCTAGGAATTTACATACATTGCCGCTTTCTGCCTTTTTCTTTGCTCTTGTTGTTATTTACTTAATAATTTAATAAATATACTTTTGATCTCTAAGTCCTTTTTGTTTTATACAGCAACGCGCATTAATATTCACCCACATACTTACCCTTTCAGTGAGGTTGAACCTATCTAGAAATAAAAGTAAATAATACCACCCGGTTCAGGCTTCCCCTCATTTAACCTCCACTGGCCTCAGCTGGGCGTCTCCTCGGTGCCCAAGGCCCCTGCATTATTCTTTCCTTTCACGTCACAGAATCACAATTGTCTTCTTGTCTCTGAGTATGCCAGTCGGTGATGAGCTCCTTAAAACCAGAAACCGCGTTACATGTATGTGACCAGCACCAAGCCCAGAACCTGGTACAAGAGCTTCCTAATATTGACTGAACCAACGCATCTAAGAATGGCTGTTGTCTTCTCTGAGCAGTGTTCTGAATGTTCCAGTCCTCTCCTCTCAGACACATCAGGTTCCAGGCCCTCCAGAACCGCTCTGCAGGGAGCCCTGAGTCCCTGGCCCTGTGAAGGGCTCAGAGTGAACCCATCAAGAAATGCCATCGCTCTCTCTCTGTCTCTGTCTGTCCCAAGGGGCATGGTGCTTTTGTAAGTGGGCCTAGTGACCCCATGCTAGGAAGTCAAGGCGTCATCTGTGACACTTGCCCAGTTTCTCAGAACAGCCTCCCAGTTCTCTCTCCACAAGCACTTTGACAAAATACAGACCGTGGGTCAAACGCAGCCTGCTCCCTGCTTCAGTTCGGTTGGAAAAATCTAAAGGAGAGTGTTGTGTCGTAACACCCAGAAAGTGAAGCTTTGTTGCAGTTTCTATATTAACTTTTTGGTGTTTTGGGGTTTTTTTTGCCTAGTGTGTTCTTATGCGGACAACTGAGCTCTGAAGCCTGAGCGTCCCCAGGTAACAATGTCAGCTGTTTTTAAAGGACCTTGGTGAGAGCAGACAGTGTTTGCCACCTACCTGAAATTAGGGAGACGCTCAGCAGTGTGTTTCCCTGGGAGACAGTCGCGTGAGGGTATTTACCTTTGTGACAAAGAACCTCTGGACAAATTGGCGCAGTGTGTGGCCTGGTCCTGATGGCAGTGGGACATGAGTGCTGTTGCAGTGTCTACGTGTGTGGCAGTTTGATAGTCGAATCTGCTTTCTTTATTATATTCGAAAAACCTGCACTTGTGCCTTACAGTTTTTTAAAAAGATTAAAAAACTTTATTTTTAGAGAGAGAGGAAGGGAGGGAGAAAGAGAGGGACCGAAACATCAACGTGTGGTTGCCTCTAGTGCACCCCCTACTGGGGACCTGACCTGCAACCCAGGCCTGTGCCCTGACTGGCAATCAAACAGGTGACCCTTTGGTTCGCAGGCGGGCACTCAGTCCACTGGGCCACACCAGCCAGGGCTGTGCTTTACGTTTTTAACAGCAAGTAGGACATCTTCCAGGTAGTAGCCCAGGAAACCTTCACGAAAAAGCAACTTTGAGGCGAGGAACGTGTCATCATTGGCGAAGCTAAGAATGTCCACACTGACAACGCAGACCGCTACGAGGGGGAGAAAAACCATTCAAAGGAGAAAGGGTTGCCCAGGAATATTCTTTGGAGTCATGGGCCACTTTCTGTCTGGCGGTTGGATGATGGGCAGGCGGTGGTGTTGAAGCATGTTGCCCATAGCAGCTCCGTTTCTGAGAACCTTCGAGCCCCTTCTGTAAAACGGTGCTTCTCAAACTGTGCAATGTTATGTGCATACGAATCCCATGGAGATCGTGCCGCCATTTTGATTCAGAAGGTCTGGGGTGGAGCCTGGCAGTCTGCATTTTTAAGGAGCTTCCAGCGGTGCTAATGCTGCTGGTCCACAGGCCACATTCTCAGTGCCGAGGCCCTAGCAAATGCCAAGAAAGTAAAGGCATCTCCAACTCATTAACTATTGACCCCTGCTGAGTCCAGGCATCAGTGAGCCAAACCTAACATGGCATGCACAGGCCCCAGCATCGACACGTTCAATCCCAGCTGAGTGCCCGGGATTTGAAGCGGGTCAGGCCCTGGAGTCCGCCCTCCATCGTGGACCGTCTTCAGTGCACTGCCACGGTTGCTGCCCGGGCTCTGCCGGTAAACACTGATGAGGTGCTGAAACTCTCCCCTACAGGCCGTCGCCTCCAGGACAGGACGTCCCCTCCCTGACAGGATGTCCCCCTTGGGCCGTGTTGGGATCTAACTCCTACTGTGGGGTGGGTTTGGGGTTGAGTCGTGAGGAACATCAACATCAGGTGGTGAGGTGCCTGGCCCAAGTGCAACCGAAGGCATGGTGTGCCTACCTCCCTGGAGGTGTTTGGGGGTCCAGCGTTCTCAGCACCTACCCAAACATCCTTATTTTGTGTCTCAGGGTGTCATTCCTTCCACACCAGCTCCTTTCTCTTCGTGCAGAAAATCTGCTGTGGTTGTCGAGTTCTGAACTCAGCAACCCTGACAACCGTGGTGCTCGGCCACGGCTGCCCTGACACTGGGGGGGTTGAGGGGCCCCTCCTGAACGGCCAGCCAGACTTTCCATGGGTCCTCTCAGCTGCACAGTTTTGTCCACAATCTCTCTTTTTCCCCCCACTGTTTATACTTCCCGGAGCTACCAGAAAGGGAGTTTACTCCACAAATCTTTATAATCGCTATTGTTGCCATAGAAACTAAATGCCACAAATGATTTCCCAGTGCCTTACCCTCCACCTTCACTTCATTCTGTACTGCTTTCTGATAAACAGCTGCCACCAGGCGTGTGCATGGGTGTGTAACCACTATCAGGTAGTCTGGAACTCTACCCACCACCGCCACGGTGGTTTTTGCTGCTGCAGAAAGGGGGAGAGGAATTAGGAAAGAGGAAAAATGAGTTCCAATTTCCGTAATCTATTTCAGTTCTTTTATTTTTTAAAAAAAGTTTGAAGCAAATATGAAAACATGATAGCACTCATAAATCCTACATAGCAAAGATTCAGTATACATAAGTTTTTTTACTTTTTGTATTGTTTATACTGCACCCCTCCTCATTCACTCACCATGCATCACTGTTCATTACAGTAGCGAGGGGCTTAACCCAGGGCACAGGTTGGTAGAAAACTCAGAAAGTAATTCATAAAACCATAGCATCAGCAAGTCAAAACACATGCACGGCAAACTCACATCAGTAAACACCCAAAATTAGGATATAGCACCAAATCCCAAACCCATAAAAAGCAAAAGCTGTCTTTTCTCACCTGCGTTCCCTCACATTCAGGTGCCCTTCTGTAGAGCTGAGAACTATCACCCCTTTTTTTTGTGCACTTGCCAAGATATTTAACACACACATCTCGGTATCAGACGTGTAAGTCAAAGGACCACTTTTAGAACATCGCTTTGTTCACCACGTGACACGTCTCAAGGATGCTGGCAGGTCAACACTTCACAGTATTGCAGTTTGTTGATATGAGTCCATTCAACCCATTGAGGCAGACACTGACTGTTTTGCAGTCTATGCTATTAAAAATAAGGTGAAGTTCACAGAACTCCACAGAAGTCATTGCACATGTTTGAGCACCTGGAGAATGGATTCCTAAAAGAATTGCTAGCTAAAGGAATACGTGCATTTAAAATTTTGGTAGCTACTGCCAGATTGTTCTTGCTAGAAGTTGTAACTGCTTTATAACAATGTATACCAGTGCTTTTCCCCTGCCAAACAGTAAAATCATTCCGTTGGAACTTAGTGATTTTGTCAACCTAATACATGGAAAAGAGTGTTTTGTTGTTGTAACTTTTTGAAAAAGATTTCATTTATTTTTAGAGAGAAGGGAAGGGAGAGAGAATGAGACAGAGAGAAACACATCGATGTCTGAGATACATCGATTGGTTACCTCTCGCATGCCTCCAACTGGGGACCTGGCCCACAACACAGGTGTGTGCCCTGACTGGGAATTGAACCAGCGACCTTTTGGTTCGCAGGCCAGCACTCAGTCCACTGAGCCACACCAGCCAGGGCTGTTGCTATAATTTTTAATCAATACTGCTGTATCATGGTTAAAGGACGATTTTAAATTCCTTTTCTGGGTTCTTCTGCCTATTTGCATCCTTTGTCCATTTTTCTTTTGGGATCTTAACATTTTTCTCTTCGATTTTTAGAAAGTCCTTTAAAAATAGGGAGTAAACTATTAGTCTATGATTTTTGTTGCAAATATTTTTCCAGTGTTCTGTTTGTTTCTTGACCTGTCTTCATACTGTTTTTGCTACGAAGGTAACTGTTTCAAATAGTCAATATTTTCTTTCGTGGTTTATGATTGTGGGCCACACTTAGGCTTTCCATATACCAAGACTATAAAAATGGCCTATTTTTGTTCCATGTACTTCCATAATTCCATATTTTTACATTCAAGTGTTGAATCCACCTGGAATTTATTTTGGTGTCAGTGGTGATTTATGGCTCAAGCCTAATTTTTTTTTGCAGCTAGGTACCCAGATCATTTAGCATCATTTAGCAAATAACCCATGTTTCCCTCATGACTTTGAGTGCACCTTCAACACATGCTACCTTCTCACACATATTTGAATTCACTTTTAAACATTCTAGCCTGCTCAATTCCCACCACACAACATAACTACATTAATTATTGTAGCTTCATGTTTTAACATGTGGTAATGCTGATTAGTCTCAGGTTTTTCCATTTTTAGATTTTTTTCCTGGATATTCTTGCTTTATATTTTTCAATGAACTTTAAAATCATTTGGATGCCTTGGGGAAAGATCTGTTGCATTTTTATTGGATGACATTGAATTTTAAAGATTCAATGAATCTTTAACTCAGTGAAAATGGATATATTTATGATTCTGAGTCTTCTCATCCAAAAGCACACTGTTCTTGTATCTATTCAAATTCCCTTTTGTGTTCTTCAGTTTCACTTTATGGTTTTATTCATAAAGAGCTTGTATCTTTCTTGTTACAGTTATTCTGAATTACTTTATCTCTTTTGTTGGAATTACTATCAGACTTTTTCTTTCATTATATCCTCTAACTAAAGGTAGTTTGCATATGGGAAGGCAATTGGACTCTTTGGCAATTAACAAATAATACATCTAGGTTCACCTTATATTTTACTGACTTATTTGTTTGACCTTCTTTCTTGAAACCACAACTTTCTTCTCCATTCGTTTTTTTCTTACCAAAGTACGTTATTCAGTAATACTTTCAGGGATGGGCTATGAATGATTAAAAGGAAATCCCAAGTTGTTGCAAGTCTGAAAATGTATTTATTTTGCCCTCAGCTTTGAATGATACTTTGACTGGGGAGAGAAGACCAGGTTCCAAGAAGCCTCCAAACCCAAAGAGGAGAAACTACCAGCCCACAGCTATGCACAGAGCTCTCAAAATCCTCAACCACAAGAATTTTTCTTAATTGCCAAAGACCATTATAATTATTTTTCTTAAAAATAATTTTTCTTAAGTCAATAATAAAGAGAAAATCTGAACAGCTGTCAGAGAAAGATGATATTATGTGCAGAGGAACAAAAGATGAGAACGGCAGATTTGTCACTGGAAATGACACAAGATAGAAGACATCGGGGCAACATATTTAACTCACTGAAAAATGAAACTATCAACCTAGACCTACAACCAGCAAAGCTGTTTCAAAAACAAAGGTGAGAGAAAGATTTTTATAGATACAAAACCTGAATGAATTCATCCTCAGCACACCTGCAGTATTAGAAATGTTAAAGACACTTCTTGAAGCAGAAGGGAAATCATGCCAGATGGAAATCTAGATTCATACAAAGGAATAAAACCACCAGAAATGGTACTGCGCTGATAAAAATAAAAAACTTTTTTTTCATAGTATTTAAGTGTCTTTAGAAGATGAGTAGCTGCTTAAAGTAAAACTAATATGAACATATTATGGGTTTTATAACAGATACAGAAGTAAAATGTATCTCGACAACAGCACAAAGGCTTGGAAAGAAAAAATGGAAGCATGCCATTGCAAAGTTCTTACACGATGCATAACGTGGTGTAGCATCCACTGAAGCTGGACTGCGATAAGTTGAAAGACACACACCGTGAACCCTATGGCTACAACTAAAACAACAATCGAAAAAGTTATAACTAAGAAGCCAATAAAAAACCAAAATGTAATTGTTAAAAAATGCACAATTAAGTCAAAGGATGCAAAAAAAGGAGAACAAAAGGAATGAAGAAGAAATAGAAAAATAGAAAAAGTAACAGGGTAAATGAAGCCCCAAACACAGCAAATATCACAAGAAAAATAAATGATCTAGAAAGCGGGTGAAAGATGCAGGGACCTTTCTACACTACTCAGTACTGCCTTTGCCACTTCCCATGAGTCTCTAAATATTTCAAAGTAAAGTGTTAAAAAAATCATCAAGTAGTTTAAGCACCTCAGCTACAAGGTAAAGATGGTCAAATTGGACTGAAAAGCAAGTGAATGAAAACAGAAATACAGTGTAACCATGGTCTTCTTGTGTTGCGTATCGTTCCAGAGAAGTCAGTAGCCACAATGATCATTCATTGATTCATTGATCATTCACAGTGATTATTTGTAAGCTGCACTAACTAATAATAAAATGTTTCTGCCAGGATTGTTAAGAATTGTCTCACTCTGAGGATTTATTTTCGAAACACTTCCCACGTCACATTTCAGGGTATTTTTACTGTTCTACTTATTGAGTTCTCTACTTCATATCCACTCTTGGTAAATCCCTGTACTCTAGATATGTTTTCTTTATACTACCTTAATACTTGTCTTATTTCTCTCCATTTCAGTGATTATCTCAAGGCTTCCTGTAACTCGAGAATCATTCTCACAGCCTGTTTTCTCAGCAACACCCCTCTGCACCTCTTTTGGCTGCCTTGTCATTTTGTCTTTCAACTTCTGTTTTATGGAATTACAGATTTCTCAAGTTCTTCTGTAGCTGGAGACACTTGGCAAGGAGTCTACTTCTGTCCCTTGAGTTACATTTCCTTTCAGCATGGGGTCTTCCTCTGGCTCATCCTGTGTTCTCCTAGTCCATTTCCTCCCTATATATAGTCGTTCTGCCTAATTCTCCTCCATTAATCTTTCTAATGTTTAGTAAGAGCAGCTCGGTATGGTTTTCCCATGTATTTTAAGAAGGTGCGAAAAGACTCTTCTTGACAACATTCTCCCTGAAGTAGAACCAGATAGTCTTCCTCTCCAGCGTATACTAGGAGGCCTCGGGGGCGCCTCCCATCTGCAGCCTGCTCTGCTCTGTCACCTGAGGCCTCACTGTTAGCTGGTGTGCCCTGTTGATCATTGCCTATGAGTTTCTCTAACTCCACTGCACTAGGAGCTGGATTTCATCCCCATGTGCTTTGACTTCTCCGTTGAATTCACAGGAAACCCTAAAGCTTACTTCCTGTCTCTACAGAGTCCTCAGGAACAACTGGGAGCGGCTATGCTTGAAGATGTCTTGGCGATTTCCTGAGCTGCCTTTTGGTGTCCCGGATGGCACTCTTGAAATGGATATTAGCGAGAATTCTGGTTTTCTTTCTTCTCATGTACCCTGGGCACTCAGTACTACTTTGGGCATGTGGGGCATTTCATGCCTTTATAGAAATCTTTTTAATTCTGGTTTTTATGTCCATACACACTTACAGATGTTTATGGCATGAGGTTGATCTCTGTTCTTTGCCTCTCTCTTGCTGGTAAAGTTTTGGCTGTAGTTTTACTAATTTTGTTTATTCTTTTAGGTGTTGGTAAAGAGTCTATAAACTGAACTTGTCCAGCTCTTGATTGAGAATTGCCATTTTTATACTGATCATTTTATTTAAAAAAATATTTCTGTATACTATCCTAAGTGATTTGCAATTTTTTTCCAAGTTAACTACAATACATTTCACAAAAAATTAATTCCATGCTTTGTCATAGACATGTCTCAAAATTTTCAACGTTCTTAATAGTTTAACCCATTGCCAGAAATATCCGATTCTTGCTTCAAGTTCATACTTCTTAGAGTGGGATTTCAGTATCTCGGTGTGGGGGAAATAGTGGGGTCTGTATTTAATTGAGAATGAACTCTGAATTTTTTAGTTTAAGCTTCTCAGGAAAGAAAGAGTTGTTTGGCTTCAAATATTGTGAGAACTTCCGAGAGACCTGTGGCACACAAGGAATCTGCCCTTGGAGAGAGGAGCTGAAATCCCGAAGACTCAGCAGAGCAGAGAGCCTAGATTTACGTATCATTTCACTGGTTCTTAAATTAAAAATGAAAAACAAAGTGTAACCTTTGAGGTCAGTACATTCATTCTCTTTGGTACCCTTTTGTTTTGAAACGAATTTAAAAACACAATACATCTATCTGCCTGGGCCACGGTGGCAATCTTACCTGTGAGTAGTAACCTAAGAGTCTCCCCGAGAACAATACTGAAGCAGAGCTAAAGAGCTGAGATTTCAAATAACTGAAAAGCAAACATATGTTTTTTAAAACTGTGATCAAAAATACTAACAGCATTAAAAGAGAGCTGATAAAGCAATGTGATGTGGTAGTATGAAAAATTATAATTTGTGTATATTTTCAAGCATGCCCCAACCATGCCTTGCCAACGGAAGCCCAGGCACACTGCTCTGTTCACCCTTCATGGTCTCCCCGTGCGTCATACGCAAGCATCCCTACGCTGTGGGTTTGTTAAAAGTAATGAAAAGATACGAGTCTGCCTGGCACTTACCGCTCCAAGGTCTTCTCATGACTCCTCCCCTCACTTCTCTGACCATCTAAACAACCAATCCTTCCTTCTGTCTCCCCTCCTGCCTACACACACACACACACACACACACACACACAGCCTCTGCATCTCAGGTCCCTCCAACGTCTACTGTGGTGTCCCTATTATTTCCGGAAATTTCTTGTACTTGTGTTGGCTTGCTCTCTGTGATTTGCCTTTGCCGAAAAGAAGAAATCTTAATCTGTCTGGTTTGCTAATCTATCCCCCACCCCCCCAGCACCTGGAAAAGGTGAGTGGCTTGCAGTGAGTGGGTCATTACAGAGTTGACGATTAAATGTTCAGATCAAAGTTTCACGGGACCAGAGGTGAGGGTTACGTAATGCTTTCTCAGATGAGGATCTTCCTGTGAGTTGGAACTCTTCAGAATATACAGGTGTTTCCTGGCCCTGGAAGCCAGACAGAGCAGAAGATTGTGGAAAACAGCTGGCTCTGCTGACTGCAGATTGATCCCGAACACGATGTTTCTTTCCAGGCCCGAAAATCGACGGACACTGTCCAACACGATGTGATTGCCCATGACATCGGACGCATTTCTGAGCCGTATTAAATCAGATTCCTCATTGGACTCAGAACTCTTTCTCTTCCTCATTGCTCTTTGAAGTTCAGATTTATACCTCTCTGCATCACTTGTGGTGCTGCACAGCACAGCGATATCCTTGCAGGAATAACCTTGCTTCAAGAGACACTGGCATTTCTCTGTGATACCAAGCACCATCTGCTCCAAGTCTGGGTATTCCATCACCTCCAAGTTGCCCGGAACACCCTGAGCCCATTCAGCTTCTTGGAGCATATCCAAGGACCCAGTGGGGATGTTAGGTGGCGGATTTTCTTTGACCTTCTGCATTATTTCCTGTAGGTAGTTGGCTATCGGATCTGCATTGCGGACCACTCTAGTGAGCTCTTCTCTTGGATACTGGTTTTGGAGATGAGGGAGGCCACTGTGCTCCAGGTGGCTAGTCTGAAAGTAGTCCAGAAAGATCCAGAGAATTCCATGGCACTCCTTTTCTTTCTGAAGGATGGTTTTTGCCTTCATATACCAGTCCCCATTTTCACGGCGGAAATTCTGAGCTTCGTCGATGATGATGTGTTTAATCCTTTCAACATCCGAGCTGTTTTTCATGAAGGTTTTTCGGGTCATTGCCTGACAGATTCTTTTTTGGCTGAAAATGTAAGAAACACAGTTAAGTTTCCCCAATAAAACAAAGGAAGTCAATTCTAGCCTTAATTTCCTTTGGACATAATAAATATAATATGAACCTTAATGTAAATTTAAAGCCATAGCAGTCAAACGTACATTAAGAAAAGAAAGTGAATGTAGTCATACCTCACAAACTCTTGCAGGGGCTTGTTCTCACAGATGTAAAGAATGTTACTTGGTTGACAGTGAAACACATTACAGATCTTTTCTATGATCTTAAGAGCCAGGATGGTCTTCCCTGACCCAGGTAAGCCATGCACAAACAGCTCTCTGGTCTTGCGAAGGTTCTTTGAAAGCAACTCATACTGTTTATCTGTGAGCAGGTTCAAAACCTCAGAGCCCAGCTCTTCGCTTAAGAGAGATCTGAACCCACGCAAAACAATCACAAGGGACTGTAACAGAGCTTCCATTTGCTGCGTGGTCCTCAGTTTATAGGACTCAGGGTATTTTTGCAACTTAGAACTACCAAGGTCTTTTGATGTTGTGTCAGGATTCAGCACGAAGGTAGAGGGAATGATGCACAAGTTTTCAGTGTAGCCACCCATGTTCACCAGCTTCAGCTTCAAGGCACGAGCGACTCTTAGACAATAATTCTTCAAGCACTCGCTGTAGTCTCTGAAGACGGTGATGAGGACCGGGTTTTCGTGCTGGGAAAGGAGAAGAGCATCGCAGATGACACCCTGCTCCTCTGGCAGACCCACATCCACGGCCCAGCTTCGGGAGAAAATCAATGTTCCTTGGGGGATATTACGCATTTGCTTATTTATTAGGTTTCTGAGTCCTTTATGTTCCATGAACAGTTCCTTGTAGAGGCTCTGTGGTCTGTACAAAATGCTGTCTGAGGATACTAGACAGGGGAAGAATTGGACTCAGTTAGAGAACTCACCAACACGCTAGGAGTCATCATTATATGTAGCAGATTCAATTCACCTCTGCATCTCCCGTGTGTTAGTACCAGGTTTTGCATTAGCAACAACAAGATAAAATGATTCTGGGCCAATGGAGCCGATACATGACGGGCACAGAGACAGACAATAATTACGACGCAAGTGGTGAATGAATGGGAAAGAAGTGCACAAAGCATTATGTGAACACCAAGGAGAGGCGCCGCTTAGAAGACAGCATGAAGGTCTCTATGGAGAAGGGAACACTCTTCCAGAGTTAGACTGGGAGTTAGCCAGAAGGATGGGAAAATAGAGAGACTGTAACCAGGACATGAAGAAGGTGCGGAGCAGAGAAACAGCAAGGCACATTCAGGCACCTGCGGGCAGTTTGTGTGACTGATGTCTAATGTGAGAGGCAAAAAGCGGAGGTGGGGAGGCAGGCATTACCGTGCGGGGTTCACGCCCAGCGGTGCTGACTGCGCTTAGCAATACTGCATTGGAGTATGACTGTGAGTTGCTGAGAGAGACCTCAACTGCTCTCCGCACACACTGGCACAAAGTGATGGATGTGTGAACTAGCCTTACTGCGGTGACCATTTCACAACACACTCGTGTGTGGAATCATCACGAGACACGCTGTCCCTGTGGTAGTGTGGACGCCATGGCAGAGGTTGCATGCCTATGACCTCACCCACACGGTGCTCTGTGAAAGGCAGGCTGTAGGCACGGGGAAGAGATCAATGGCCCCAAAGAGGCAGCAGGACAGAGCCGCTTGGGGGGATGGAATTGTTCTGTCTCTTGACTGTAGTGGCGGCATGCAAATCTACACGTTTTAAAAACCTTTCATCTGTTTATGAATAAAAGCCCATTTTAGGACTTCCGCCAAGATGGAGGTATAGGTGAATGTGCCGTGCCTTCTCACACAACCAAGTTTAGGGACAACTAAATATTAGCATCAGAAAACACAACCAGAACATGGAAAATTGAACTTTTCGGAAGTCCGTTAACAACAAATTCTTCAGCCCGACGGGTAAGGGGCGAAACCGGCGTCTCGTGAGGAGTTGCACAGGACTCCGGTCAGACGGACCCAGGCGCGGAATCCAGACGCGCGAATCCAGACGCAGGGGTTCCAAACCCAGGATTGGACCTAGTGAGTGACCGAGCAACCCACCGGGTGAGTGACTGCTGAGGAGGCAGTGGGGAGGCGGTGCTGCGTGTTGACTGCGGTTGCCTATCTATGGGCGAGCGGACAGGCGAGGGAGTGGGCGCTTGGACCGGGCCCAGCGGTCCCCATGGCTTGCGGCAGTAAAGGGCGCCGCCATCTCCCCGCTCTGACCACACCCCCACATACAGCGTCACAACCCAGTGACCTGGGAGTCCAAGGCGCCGCTTCTCCCGCTTAAAGGGCCAGAACAGACCAAAAATGTCGCAGGAAGACCTCAAAGCCCCAGAGATAAATCTAAGCGACGAAGAAATAGCAAAACTCTCAGACGCACAGTTTAAAACACTGGTCATCAGGATCCTAACAGATCTGGTGGATTATAGCCACAAATTAGAGAAACATATGAAGGCTAAACTAAGGGAAATTAATGGAATTCCACAGGAAACCCATAGAGATGAAAAGGGAACTGGGACTCAAATCAATGGAGTGGACCAGAAGAAAGCAAATAATGGCCAAACAGAAAAGAGCCAAGGAGCAAGAATTCAAAGAGGACTTCCGCCAAGATGGAGGTTTAGCTGGATGTGCCTGCCTCCTCACACAACCAAGTTTAGGGACAACTAAATATTAGCATCACAAAACACAACCAGAACACGGAAAACTGAACTTTTCGGAAGTCCGCTAACAACAAATTCTTCAGCCTGACCGGTAAGGGGCGAAACCAGTGTCCGGTGAGGACTTACAAAGGAGGGCTCGGTCGGACCGGCGCGGAATCCGGCGCGCGAATCCAGTCACGCGGGTTCCAAACCCAGGATTGGACCTGGTGAGCCGCCGAGCAGCCCACCGGGGGAGCGACACAGTGGGGAGGCGGTGGCAACGAGTTGACTGTGGTTGCCTGGTTGCGCGCGAGTGAGGGAGTGAGCGGTTGGACCAGCCCGGCGGCGGCAGCAGCGGCGGCAGCTGCGGCGGCGGCGCCGCGCCATTTTCCGCTCTGACCACGCCCCCACATACAGCGTCACAACCCAGCGACCTGGGACTCCAAGGCGCCGCTTGTCCCACTTAAAGGGCCAGAACAGACCAAAAATGTCGCAGGCAGAACTCAAAGCCCCAGAGATAAATCTAAATGACGAAGAAATAGCAAAACTCTCAGACGCACAGTTTAAAACACTGGTCATCACCTTTCTCACAGATTTGGTGGATTACAGCCACAAATTAGAGAAACATATGGAGGCTAAATTAAGGGAAATGAATGGAATTCCACAGGAATCCCATAGAGATGAAAAGGAAACTGGGACTCAAATCAATGCAATGGTCCAGAAGAAAGCAAATAATGGACAAGCAGAAAAGAGTCAAGGAGCAAGAATTCAAAGAAATGAGGAGAGTCTTAGGAACCTCCAGGACATCTTTAAACGCTCCAATATCCGAATTATAGGGGTACCAGAAGGGGGAAAGACACAACCACCAGTGGAAAAACTATTTGAACAAATAATAAAAGAAAATTTCCCCAATCTGGCAAAGGAAATAGACTTCCAAGAAATCCAAGAAGCCCAGAGAGTACCAAAAAAGTTGGACTCAAGAAGAAACACACCAAGGCATATTATAATTACATTAGCCAAAATTAAAATGAAGGAAAGAATCCTGGAAGCAGCAAGAGCTAAGGGGACAATCACCTACAAAGGAGTCCCCATCAGGCTGTCAGCAGATTTCTCAAAAGAGACCTTACAGGCAAGAAGGGGCTGGAAAGAAATATTCCAAGTCATGAAATCTAAAAACCTACAACCAAGATTGCTCTACCCAGCAAAACTTTCATTTAGAACGGAAGGACAGATAAGGTGCTTCTCAGATAAGATCAAATTCAAGGAGTTCATCATCACCAAGCCCTTATTATATGAAATGTTAAAGGGACTTATCTAAGAAAAAGAAGATAAAGAAACATGAACAGTGAAAGGACAACAAACCCACAGTTATTAACAACCACACCTAAAACGAAAGCAAACTAAAAGGACAGCTAGAGCAGGAGTGGAAACATAGAAATGAAGATCTCAAGGAGGGTTAGCAACAGGGGAATGGGAGGAGGAGATGGGGGGAGAAGGTACAGAAAACAGGTAGCATAGACAGTAGATAGAAAATAGATGGGGGGGCGAGAATAGTTTGGGAAATATAGAACCTAAAGGACTTGAGACACATGGACATAAACTAAAGGGGGGTAATGGTGGGGTTGGGGGGCAGGGTGGAGGGAAATGGAGGGGGGAATAGAACAACTGTAACAGCATAATCAATTCAAAAAATAAATAAATTTAATTAAAAAAATAAATAAATTTAAATAAACAACATTTTAAAAGTAAAAAAAAAAAAAAAAAAAAAGAATTCAAAGAAATGAGGAGAGTCTTAGGAACCTCCAGGACATCTTTAAACACTCCAATATCCGAATTATAGGAGTACCAGAAGGGGGAAAGACACAACCACCAGTGGAAAAATTATTTGAACAAATAATAAAAGAAAATTTCCCCAATCTGGCAAAAGAAATAGACTTCCAAGAAATCCAAGAAGCTCAGAGAGTACCAAAAAAGTTGGACTCAAGAAGAAACACACCAAGGCATATCATAATTACATTAGCCAAAATTAAAATGAAGGAGAGAATCCTAGAAGCAGCAAGAGCTAAGGGGACAATCACCTACAAAGGAGTCCCCATCAGACTGTCAGCAGATTTCTCAAAAGAGACCTTACAGGCAAGAAGGGGCTGGAAAGAAATATTCCAAGTCATGAAATCTAAAGACCTACAACCAAGATTGCTCTACCCAGCAAAACTTTCATTTAGAATGGAAGGACAGATAAGGTGCTTCTCAGATAAGATCAAATTCAAGGAGTTCATCATCACCAAGCCCTTATTATATGAAATGTTAAAGGGACTTATCTAAGAAAAAGAAGTTAAAGAAACATGAACAGTGAAAGAACAACAAGCTCACAGTTATTAACAACCACACCTAAAACGAAAGCAAACTAAAAGAACAGCTAGATCAGGAGTGGAAACATAGAAATGAAGATCTCAAGGAGGGTTAGCAACAGGGGAGTGGGAGGAGGGAGATGGGGGGAGAAGGTACAGAAAATAAGTAGCATAGACAGTAGATAGAAAATAGATGGGGGGGGGGCGAGAATAGCATGGGAAATATAGAACCTAAAGGACTTGAGACACATGGACATAAACTAAAGGGGGGTAATGGTGGGGATGGGGGGGCAGGGTGGAGGGGAATGAAGGGGGGAATAGAACAACTGTAACAACATAATCAATTTAAAAAATAAATTTAAAAAAAAGCCCATTTTACACTTGTAATTTTTCAAAATTAATTCTTAAAAGGGTTTTTAAAAAACCAGCCCGGCTTTTCATACACACACACACACACACACACACACAATGTTCACCTTTTGGGGTCACAAGCCCAAATTTGGAATCTAACCGAAACTACGAGCCCTCTCCTTAGAAAAAAATACAATACACACTAAATTTGAATTTTTAATTCCACATAGAGGGAAGAGACAGGAATGAATCCAGATTTCTGTGCTGGGCTGGATGGAGGATGGACTCTTCAACTGGTAAAGATAACTTTACCAACTGAAAAGAATACCTAATACAGAACAAGGGGCAGACCACAAAGAAGAAATAGAAGTCTGTAGGAGTAAGAGTCAGATTTCGGGAGTGCTCAGCCCAGGACTTCTGTGGCGCCCCAAGCTGTCCAGCCAGCAATGGACACACCAGTAAAGTTTGCCTGGGCTCAGAAAAATACGAGAGTTATTTTCTAGAAAAGCGGACTTAGGTAAGGGTGCCTCCTATTACTGTTTTGATTTAACATCATTCTGGGATATTGTGGGCCAATAAACTGAAACGCATAAAGGAAATAATGTGTATAAACATAGGAAAAGTTAGTTCAAAATTACCTTTGCTTTTGCATTAATAAAAGCATTGAGGAAAATGTTTGGAAGTGGCATAACTTCAAACTATGAGCTTTCCTACCGGCCAGCAATTCACAGTAAAAAAAATGATCACTTAAAATCTCATTATAGAAATAAAATGTAACATGTATGGTAACAATGTGGATAAAACTCTGAAACTGTTAAATTATATACCATATTTCACTGATGATAAGTGTACTTTAATATCTCTTAACTTAAGATATATCCTATAGCTTAACAAACAATATTTGAGTGGTAAATAAAATAATAATACAATGTTGTTTTCTTAAATTTCATAAAATATGGTAAGACTTGAATAAATGGCCAAACATTCCATGTTCAACTATGAGAAAATTCACTGTTGTAAAAAATGACAATTCTTTCAAAATTAATTTATCAATTTTATGAAATTGCCACCAAAATAACCTCATATTATCCTTTTCTCTTTTTTGTGTGGAACGAAATAACTCTAGGCTTCCCAAAGAGACAGGCCATGATAATGTTATTTGGAAAAGTGCATTCTGGTATGTTTGGAGTTGCAACTTGTCAACTATTCCCCTAAGTTTACAAGTTTAAAGAAGCGAGAGTAGGGGTGTTTGTCAAGCAGATTTTTGACCTGGGTGGTGGTCACACAAGTTTCAATGTATAATTGCTCATTAAGTTACATCATGGTTCTAGGTACTTTCTATATTTCACAACAAGAACCGCAAAAACTGAGTAACATCCATGTTGAAGAGCACTATGAAATACTATATGACCAATAAAAGAATTGGGTAAATCTGTGAGTTAACTTAGGACAAGACGTCCATACACATTACTAAGATGTAGCCCTGTGCTTGCGCCGGAGCTGTGGTGGTTCATTCTCATTTCTCACAGCCGAATAATGTTCTATTATGTGAATATGCTACAATGTATTTATGTATTATTGTGACAATAGGTAATTGGGTTGTTTCCTTTTGGGGGCTGTTACAAATAGAGAACTTATGAGCACTAGGGGATATTGGCATACCTCCAATTATAACCATTTCCTGACGCCTGATTCCATATTTTACTTTGGAAACTAGAAGGAATTGCTGAATGGACAAGTATGCAAATAACCAATTATACAAGGTAATGTCTGATTTGTTTTCCAAAGGGATTAGGCCAACTTAAATCCCCAGCCAAGATGTAAAAAAGACCTCATTTCCCACAGCCTCTGCAACACCTGCTGTGGGTTAGTGTCTCTTCATGTCTTTATTGGGGATATATGTGTTTCCTTTTCTGAGAAAGTCATCTTTATAACTATTGCCCATTTTTTCTACTGGGTTGTTTGTTCTTTTAAAAATTTATATAAGTTCTTTATATATTCTTGATACCAAACCTTCGTTAGCTTCATGGATTGTAAATATCTTTCAAGGCTGTAGTTAAATCTTTTCACTCTTTTGAGGAGCAGCAGTTCTTCATTTTAATATAGTGAAATTTATCAGTCTTTAAGTTTAATCCATGTGTGTCTGGTTTAGGAAATCCTAAACAACACACAATTATTTGTGTACATTTTCTAATAAAAATGTAAGAGGTTCTTTTCTGATATTTATATCCTAAAACCTTCTGGAATTGATTTCTTTCTATAGCATGAAACAGGAGTCCAATTCTACTTTCTTCCCCCATAGGGATGAGCACCCAACCTGTTTCCAAAGCAACCATCGATAATGAATTACCTGGGAAATAACTCTTTTGCTGTTTTTCCAAACATTCCAAATTCTTGTGAGTGCACACGGCTCTGCCACGGGGTGTCGTGGATGACAGACTCAGCGCCAAGAGCATCTCAGAAAACCTGGAAAGATCTTAGGAAACAAGAATGAAGGGTTCAATGTGCGAAAAGCAGACCCTGCTCCTGAGAGCTGAGCTGTGTTGCAAAGTCTCTCACTTAGTCTTAGAACCCAAGTGTTGGCTTGCAGAGATTTGATTGACATCCCGGGTCAGCGCACAAAAGCCTGCTGATGTCCCCCAGGGGGCGGGGCGAGAAACTGGTGTGGGGCAAGTTTTTAGCCTTTAAGTTTCCATTTTATTCTATTGAAACAAACTATTTTTACATCGGTAGAATGCTCATATTGAAAAAACAGGATTAGAAGGTACGCTCCTGAGCTGGTTCTGAAATGAACTTTGTTTATCTAAATTTTTGAAGAAGGAACCACTGATTTTCTTTTGTCTAATTTCTCTCAGGCTTTCCTTTCCCAAAGTGGGTGTGAGTCAACAACTTGATTCTTTTGCCTATGGGTCATGGTGAACATGACAGGTTGGCTCTGGAAAGGGAGAGTGGGAAGGGAGAGAGACAGCCATGGCTCGGTCATCTTTTAGCTCAAAAATGGAAGTGGGGTAATAAGAAAGGGAGAATATTGCCCCAGCTGGTGGGGCTCAGTGGATTGAGTACCGGCCTATGAACCAAAGGGTCACCAGTTCAATTCCCAGTCAGGGCACATGCCTGGGTTGCAGGCCAGGTGCCCAACAGAGGGCGCACGAGAGGCAACCACACATTGATGTTTCACTCCCTCTTTCTCCTTCCCTTCCCTTCTCTCTAAAAATAAATTAATAAAATATTTTTTAAAAAGGGAGAATATTTAATCCAGAGAACCATACAAAATGGGAAGTCAGGGGGAAGTGAAAAGGAATTTTCTGAATAGTTAAACGTTGCATATGAACACAAGAAAGGATGTGAAGATAGGAATTATTAAGTCTAACAGCCCCGTTGTACCAGCCTCCAGTGGGCCGGCTGGCCTGGGGCATCTGCTGAACACCCGGGATTTAAGGTGGGTGGAGGGAAAGAAGGGCCGTGCCAGGCACGGCACCTCCGGGAATTAATGAGTCAGACAGCTGCAACTCAGCAAGCTCCTCTCTTGCCCAGGATTCTGGAACGATACCTCCCTTTCCTCCCCGCTACCCCCCAGCCCCAGCAACATTACAGTGATTGCGGATTCTGCTCCCTGACCTGGGTCGGCTTCTGTCATCCAAGCAACCCATTCCTTTATGGTCAGCTGTGTGACACAGTCGTCCTTCACCTGCCAGGAACTAGGCTGCTTGGCAAACACCGCACAGCAGAATGGCTCCACCTTGACCGCACAGACGTATCCATGCAGGGCCCCCTGATAGTATACTTCAAGGAATTTGACTTTATATTTTATCTCGTGCTTCTGGCTACAGAAATGATGGACCGGTAACTTCCTGATACAGCTGTCAATGGAGTCCTTCAGGGTGGAAACATTTATCCTTTCTTTTACACATCCGAGGACTCGAAGGGTCTCCTCATGCACCCCCCAAAATATGTATCCTCCTTCAGCATTTGCAAATGCAGACACACAGCTGGGGAGACTGTCATTGAGGCATTCTGACGCTCCCTCTGAGAACATTTTAAATTCGACATGGGTGGACTTCGTGAACTTGATCTCTTCCAGGTACTGAAGGTGAGGTCTGCCAAATAAAGCAGCCGCGGAGGCCTTTATGTTACTTTCGTTTTGTATGCCATCCTGAACATCCGCTGGACCCAACAGACTGGAACCAGGAATACTCCGAGGAGCCCGGGTCCTCCCCTTGAGGAACTCCAGTGCCTCCTGAGAGGTCATGACATTGGTCGATGTTTTATGTCTGTAGTACAGGTTGGAGCACAGAGTAGCAAGCCGTACGCCAGAGGCCTTGGCGTTCCAAGATCTCACAAAAATAAAAAGGAGGTCTTTCTCTTGCATTTCATCTAAATAACCTTTGAAAATCGGATGCTCGTTCAATCCTACGCCATGAACTGTGTAATTGTAGCCTTTGCTCGCCTGAATCCTGACCACTCCCCCACCAGAATTCAGCAGGGCACAGATTGCGTGGGCGATGACCTCGTCCTGTGTCTTCTGCAGCTGAGGGTCCATCTCCTTCCTTTTTCTATTCCCAAGGGTGACTCCTCCCACACTGACAACATACTCAGCAAAGTTTGTTTCCGAATCAATCTTGAGACTCATCTTCTCGGCACTCTTCCTAGTCTTGCCCTGAAATATTCTCCTGAAAAACAGGAAGACAGAACCATCAGAACAGGACGAGAATAGGGGAAGTGGGAAACGGAGAGTTCCAGGCCACTCTGCCAAAGTGGGTCACTTCACTGATTTCCACGGAACTCGAGACCAGATTCAGTCTCGGAGGAATGGTACACAGCAGGTCGAGGAGCTGCGCCGTCCAGGAGCCCACCGCCACCACAGAGGTGAGCGAGAGGCTATTTGCATGCTGATTTTAGTCATCGTTTCTGCCAGGTTCTCTAAATGACAAGCTCTCTCAAGGCCCCTGCAGAGAACAGGAAGTATTACATCTTCCCGACCACACTGCAAGACTGAAAGATGTGAACGATACACAACACCGCAGCTGCCAATCCTTGGCCCGTCTGTGGCCGCGGAGGAGGAAGGAGCCACTAAACTACTGCACACAGAATCAAAAACCCTCTATCATGAGAGACTTCACTGTGAACCAAGAAGATGTCACACTATCAGGACAGTGTCCTCGCTCTGTCATGCCCCGCCCCCCCACGTGTCCTTCCTCCAATACCTGGATGCAGGGATCAGGAGATGAAGCCCGAGAGAAGAGCCAACATCCCCTGGATGAGCGTGAAGACAGCCCAGCGAGGAAGCTGTGGGGCGGGCCTAGCGGATCACCAGCCAAAGGTGGAGGGAGGTGGTCACAGGCTGCAGTGAGTGGCACCTTAGACTGCACAACTGACGGAATTTAACCAGCTGCCCAACTGAGGAGGTGGAGACTTGGAGAACAACTCAGTAATAAGGATGTAGGAAGATATGCAAATACAGACACAATATAAGACAGTAGCTCAGATGAAAAAGTAGTACAGAAAATAAAATATTACCATGAGGCATTGTATGGCACGACTATAAATAAAATGACAGATGTAATAACAATAACCGCTGAGTACTGTCCTGCTCAGGAACGATGATATAATTGTGCTGTCAGGATGTGGGGGGAGAGAGTGTAGGGAAGGAAGTGTGCAACACCGATTCCTGCATCTCCAGAAACAGGCGATGTCTAACGCTGCCGGGGAGGGTGTTAGAGAGAGCACAAACATGGCTAGAAATACGGAGTCAAATGCCAAAAGTAGAAGCCGAAGAGGCAAGAGCGGGAAAAGTGGATGAGGGTGTGGGCCACGGGATTTCTCCTTGCCTTTCATAGAACTGGGACTGTCAAAAACTACATGCGTGACACTCCTGCTTCCGGTCACAGTAGAGAAGCAGGGACTAGATTACTCTCCCGCCTGAAACAGCTAAAACATTTCTGAAGAAATAATGGCCAGAAAAGTTCCACACCTAATGCGAATTATGCAAAATCAAGATCAAGATCCAAGTTATTCAACAAGCACAAGACACAGGAAGAATGCTACACCAAGTGCATCACAATTAATTTGCTCAAAGCTAGTGATAAAGAGAAAAGCTTAAAAGTAATCAGAGGAAAAAAGGTTATAATATAGAGAGGAACAAAAAATAAGATTAGATTTCTTTTGTCAGAAGCAAAGCAAGCAAGACCTGCCTGGTGTAACTCAGTGGATTGGCGGGGGGGGGGGGCCCGGGGGGCGGCCCCTACAAGCAAGAGGCTTGCAGTTCCATTCCCAGTCCGGGCAAATGCCTGGGTTGCAAGCCCCCAGTAGGGGGCGCAGGAGAGGCAACTACACATTGATATTTCTCTCCCTCTTCCTTCCTCCCTCCCCCTCCCTAAATTAATTAATTTAAAAAAATAAGGAAAAGGTACTTCACTAAAATACAATGAACGCAATAACCCGCTAGGAGTGTAAATCGATGAGCCTGCTATTACTGAGTTTTTTCCCTAGAAAGTAAATTTACCGTAGGATTCGTGTTACAGAGGCTTGTGCGCCTCCCTGTTGTTCATCGGGTAATCACCACCACCCCACCTTGCCCTTTCCCTCCTGTATCTGAAATGCACACTTCTCATTACGAAAGACAGCAAGCCAGTCTAACGGCCAGTGAAAATTACATCAGCAAAATAAGAGAACACGCTCTCTCTTCCTTACAGGTGCAAAAAAGCAAAGCAAAAAAAAAAAAAAAAAAGTATCCCTAGAGTTGCCCTAGCAAAGGAACCCTCCAAGTCACCTGGTCTTCAGAAACGGCCTCTCTGGCCTGGGACGCGGCTTAGCCTGGACCGGTGCTACCAATGGTTGTTTACTCAGGGTCCTGCTGCAACAATCTGGTTGTTTACTTAGCGTCCTGTTGCAACAATCGTATTGCAATTGACTAGTTTGGTGATGGGCATTGACACCTGTCGGTTTTCACAGCCAGGCCAGGAGCAGGTCCTCACACTCCAGTCTTCTACTTGCAAGAGAGCACTAAACCTCGCGATCGCTCATTTTCTCATTTAACCGAAAGAGCTGGGGTCTTGTGACCTTGGAGAGAACCTTTCCGACGCGGGTGGCGGCTGCCGCGCCCCGCCTTCCCCGCTCCTCTGGCCACAGGAACTCTCACCTCCTCCTCTCCTCGCAGAGTCAAACCGAGTCTAGCTTCTCTTTCCCCGCCACGGCAGGCGCCTCTCTAGTTTCCGGAGGGGCAAAACCAAGCAAACGAGTAGCCGCCCCACTTATTTCCTCCGGGAGACTCCGCGCCGAGACCGCGCTGCGTGCGGGTGAACCCGCAGGAGCCACGCAAAAGCCCCGCAGGCCGGCGTCCCCTGCCCACCACTCTGGTCCCCGAGGATTCCTTTCTGGTTCCTGGAGAGCAACGTGCAAAAGTGGACCAGAACCACTCGCCGCGGCCCAGCCTCTGCGGCCAGAGCCCACGGAGCCGTCGCGACCCACTGGGGTCGCGGCCTGGATGGGGGCCCGGCCGACCCCCAGTGGGAGCTGTTCTGTGTGAGGATGGCGCGCGCAGCCAGGGGCGCCCAGGAACACAGCCAGTCTGGACAGACAGACTGGACCCGACAGACTGGAACCAGGAATACTCCGAGGAGCCTGGGTCTTCCCCTTGAGGAACGCCAGTGCCTCCGGAGAGGTCATGACATTTGTTTTTTCGCTTTTGTTCCACGGAACGCAGCCTCGCCCAGTGACCTGCACCCCGACCCCGTCCGTCCCCCGGGGAGCCTCGGGGCCCCACGTGGCCGTTTCCTTTAAACAACTTCCGGCTCCCGGACCGAGGGGGAATCTTACGGGCTCGGGCTGGGGGATCTGGGCTGCCAGGCCGCGCGCCTCTCCTTCCTCCCCGGCTGCCCAGGCGCCGCAAACCTCCCCGCTCCCCGTCCGCCACGGCCCATCCGTGGGAAGCTGCTGCTCCTGAGTGGGAGTCCACAGACCCAGGCTCCCTATCGGGAACGGCGCTCCCGGGGCAGCGACCAGGCTGCACCCCGCCTTCGCCCCTGCGGGGTCGGGGACGCGCGCGCGGACCGGGGAGGCGGAAAGGCGGGCTTTTGGAGGACCCGGGTGAAGGGGCGCGGGGACTCATTACCGGTCAAGGCTTCTGCTCAGCGGCGCGCCTGCCTCCTGGAGAAAGCGGAGAAAGCGGAGAAAGCGGAGAAAAGCGACGGCGCCTCCCGAGTCCCGAGCGATGGCTTTGGCCCTGCGGGGTCGCGTCCTTTCACCTGCTGAACTCGGTGACAGCCCGCCAGGCGGGGCTCTGCGCGGGGGCGGGGGTGGGGGGTGGGACAGACCCACAGGCAGTTTCGTTTCTGTGAACCGGAAACGCCACCCCCGCAGGGACGGCAGCCTCCGTTACAGTCGGGGCGCGAGGGGCTTATCTCTTTCTTTTTGTTTCGCAGTTTTTTTGTGTGCCTTTAAAAATGTTTTCACTGTTGCCCAATTACAGTCGTTTGCATTCTCCCGCCATCGCTCTCCCCGGCTCCGCCCCTCCCCACACATTCAATCCTCACCCCCCAACCTCACCCCGTTGTCTTTGGCCCTGGGGGTGTTCCTTTGTATAATAGGAGTCCTTCGACTTGACCCTTCTCCCCCTTCCTTCCCCGATTATCCGCGTCCCCGCGCCGCTCTAGGCACCGTCAGTTTGTTCTTTATTTCCTTGACTGACTCCGGTTCTGTGTCGCTCGCCTGTTTGGGGAACGAGGCAGCGGCAGCAGCAGAACAAGTTGGCGCGTCTCGGAGGAGAGCAAACTGCCCGCGCGTTAGCCCCGCTCCCGACCGGCCAGGTCGCGCCGGTTCAGGGGGACTGGCCTGGGCAGAAACAGTCCGTGAGGCCAACGGCCAACTTTTACAAGACCCAAGTTTGAGATGAATGTTTGAGGGAAATGTTAAGTTCCAGAAGGGACCTACAGAGAGAAGAAAGCTGCCATCTCAGGGATTTAAAAGAACAGTTACAACCCTGGCTTCACGTAGTTGGGGTGAGTTGCGCGTTTTCCTTCTTTGTCGTTTCTTTGTTTTCTGATTAGTTTTCTTTCCGAGAGCGCTAGCCCCCACCCGGGAAGGGATTTCCTGGTGCAAACCCCCGCGCCCTAGCCTTGGCCGGACCCCCAGGCTCCCGCACGCGCGCGCATCTCTCGCCCCATCCAACCCCTGCCTGGCTTGAGGCTGGAATTGCGGGATCCGCCGCCCCAGCTCTCCCTCGGGAGTGAGGAGGTGGGAGCAGGGGGTTAGTCCTCCGCTTTCGCCCACCCCACCCCAGAAGTGGATAAAATGGGCTCTGCCCCCTTTCTTTCGAGAGCGCTTTGATTTGTGAAAGCTGGCGCTTGCTGCTAAGGGCGCCACGGAAACCAAAAGCTGCGGATAGTGCCCCCCCCCCCCCCCCCCCCCGCTTGCTAGAACTTGGCCGGACCAGGCGACGGTGTTTTGGTGAGAGAAGAAGGAAAATGTCCCCTCGATTCACTGGCCCACACCCAGGTGCTTTCCAAGACCACAGTTTTCCGTTTGTTTGCCCGAAGGTCATCACCAAGCGCTGTCGGGGCGCTATAGCAGGATCTGGCCCCGCGCCGGGGTCCGCGCCGGTCAGTCTGCCCTTGACGCGCTGCTGCTGCTGGGCGGTGGGGAGTCATGAACCCGAGAGGCAGCCCCGAGGAGCAAAAGGGGCGAGGAGCTAGCGGCCTGGCGGCCGACCCCAGCCCGCGCCCCCAGGGGCGGTAAGTAGCAGTTAGGGAGCCCTGGGGCGACCAGTCCACTGCCGGCCGCAACTGCTCCTCCGCCGGGGCGCCCTCCTTCTGCCTTCCTGGCCCTCGGAACAATCTGGTGGACAACGTTTGCCCATCTCACCACCTCCAGCTCCCGCGCCCACAGCCTTGAGGACCGGTACGGCCCTCCCAGCAAACTGTCTCCCACCGTCTCCCCAAGAACTGGAGTTCCCAGTGGACGGCCGCCGCAATCTGGACGCGGGAGCTCGCGGGTCTAGGTCGCTGCTCAAGACAGGGTGTGGGGGGATCCGGCCCCACCGACCCGTTGGGCCGATGGGGAAGAGGCTGGGGGTGTCACTGTAAGACCACAGGGTCTCGGTGGGGAGTCTACCTTGCGGTCCAAGTGCATTCAAATTCCTGCCCTGAAAGGACTGGTCCCTCCCACCGGGGGACTCTGCAGCCCTGGGGACGTCCCCCCCCCCGCCCCCCGCAAGCAGACCAGGGTGCTGGCCGGTTACCAGAAAATCGAAGCGCAGGAACCATGTCCAAGAGACGGCCTGTGGGCATCTCTGGGGGCTGAGGTTATAGGGGTGACTCCTTAATTTTTAGAAGTATTCTCAGATAGCTAAGGGGTACAGAAAGTACAAAAATAACGGTCATTTGAACTCCCCAGCATTCACCAAGTTACTTGTCGTGGAAGGAAGTGAAGGCAAAATGTGATCTCATTCTTAACATTTACTCGATATTAAAAGTTTAACTCTCAAGTTTGGTCCACCCAAGAGCAGGAAATGCCAAACGCCACCTCAGGTCACTCCCGTGTGCGTGCGCACACACTCAGCCATTGCAACTTTGTACCATTTTTCTCAGCACCCTCAGCAGGGAGCAGGCGAACAGGAAGGGAGGTGGGTTGTGGGGGGTGTGGCCTCCTAGGGAGGGAGGCTCGCTGCCTAGGCCAGCCCTGTGCCAGCGCCCCCTGCCGGCGCCTGGGGCGGCGGTCACAGTAAGGTCGGGGGGCTGCATGCCTTGGTCTGTGTGTCCTGGCCCATAGAAAACCCGCTTGGCGTTGTCGGTGAGAGACGCGGGGTTACTGATGCTGGGCTCCCTGCTCCGAGACAGGGTGCCCGGTGGGGCTTTGATGCAGAAACTTTTTCGAGGAGACTGCGGGTCGCAGCAGCTGGGAGTTTCGGCTCAGAGCTTCATCCGCCGACTTTCCTGTTAACAATACTCACTTCTCAGGTAAAAACATATTTCCGTTTTCTTCTTTTTTACTTTTGTCAGTAACAACAAATTTTAAAAGTAATTTTTACATAAACATATTTTGATGTTTTTTTAAAATCCTTACCAGACGATTTTATCAATTTCAGAAAGTGAGGAAGGGCAAGAGAGAGAGAGAGAGAAACATCGATAGGCCGCCTCCCGTGTGTGCCCTGACCGGGGATCAAACCCACAACCTAGGTATGTGCCTGGACCAGTAATGGGACACACAACCTTTTGGTGCACAAGATGACGCTCCAACCAACTGAGCCACCCGACCAGGGCTTGGTATTCTTAAGAACAATGTTCATCATTGGACAAAGTGGGGTGCAATCTCGCCGTAAGTTTACTAGGAGGAGGGATGAGGCACCCTTTACGAGTGAGTATACAGACCACACCCGTCAGGGACAATGGTGGGGAGAATCTGGGTTCTCTGGCCCTCCCTGCGCCCACCCTGAGACCCCAAAGCCTCCTGGTGTTTTCCTGCCCCAGGGGGCGAGTCTACGTTTCCTGAAGGAGCCCAGTTGTGGGAGCCCGATGCTCCATGAGAACGAACGTGGTAGGCAGAATAATGGCCTCCTGAAGATGTCCACATTCCCAATCCCCAGAACCTGTGCAGCAGTTCTGTTGCAAGGCAGGGAGAATGAAGACTGCAGACAGAATTCAAGTTGCTAATTAGCTGAGTTCACAATAGAGAGATTGTCCTGAATTACCTAAGTGGGCTTCATGTCATCATGAGTGTCCTTTAAATGTGGAAGGAGACAGGAGAGGGAGTGAGTGTCAGAGGGATGCCAGCCCAGAAGGCTTGGCCAGCCGTACTTGCTTGGAGGTGGAAGGGGGTCGAGAGCCAGGAGATGCGGGCAGCCTCTAGGAGCTGGAAAAGCCAGAAGGCAGATCCTGCCCCCAGAGAGCAACACAGTCCTGCCAGCGCTTTGGTTCCAGCACAGGGAGACCCATTCAGGACTTCTGGCTGCCAGAACTGTGCAGGAATGTATCTGCCTTGCGCCAGGCCACCCCATTTGTGATAATTTGTTAAATGGGTGATTCAGACCACAGGGTGGCAGTCCTCAGCCCACCAGATGCCCCCCATTCGGCAAAGAACCACGAAGGGGCCACAACATCTTGTGAGAGAATCAGAACGTCTGGTAATAGTTCACGTGGGCCCCCGTGAGCACTGTGGGGCGTGTGCTTGCCGCGTCCCAAGACCACATTCAAACTACAACTAAACTATGAAATGGTCATCGCTGAGAACAGCCTGAAATCTGGCAGAACAAAAGCCCAATCGTTAAGCATATGCCTAAGGGGCCATGTCGGGGCCAACTCAGTAACTGTATGGGAAGAAATGAATCTTGGGGACTTCCACCAAGATGGAGGCGTAGGTGGAAGCACTGCACCTTCTTGCACAACCAAGTTTAAAAACAATAAAGTTTTAGCAACAAAAATGCAGCCAAACCACAGAAAATTGAACTATACGGAAGTCTGACAACAACAAATCCTTCAGCCAAACTGGTAAGAGGGGCAGAGCCAGCAGCAGAGCGGGGGTCAAGCAGGAAAGATCCACCGGACCGACCCGGGCCCAGGACCCAGGTGCGCCAGCAGCCGTGGGCGGATCCCAGGTGTGGAAGGGCGGGTGGACCCACTGAGGACACAAGGCAGTGGACTCACTGAGGGCTGACCACGGTCACACATTAGAGCGCAGATAAACTGGTGAAGGAGTGAGCAGTGAGACAGACCGCCCAAGCCCCAGTGGCGGGAAGCGGCAGAGGGGACCGCTATTGTCCCTCTCTGACCCTGCCCCCACATACAGCATCACAAACCAGCAACCCTGGGTGGCCCTACCCTGGTGAACACCTAAGGCTCCACTCATACGTAACAGGCACAAACAGATCAAAACATGGCTCAAGAACAACTCAGAGCCCCAGAGCCAATAAATCTAAGTGATGAAGAAATAGCCAAACTTTCGGATGCACAGTTCAAAATACTGGTAATCAGGATGCTCACAGAACTGGTTGATTTTAGTCACAAATTAGAGGAACATATGAAGGCTAAACTAATTAAAATGAAGGGAAAGGCACAGGAAACCAATAGTAATGGAAAGGAAACTGGGACTCAAATCAAAGGAGTGGACCAGAAGGAAGAAAAAAATGACCAAACAGAAAAGAATGAAGAAACAAGAATTCAAAAAAAGGAGGAGAGTCTTAGGAACCTACAGGACATCTTTAAACGCTCCAACATCTGAATTATAGGGGTACCAGAAGAGGAAGAGGAACAGCCACAAGTGGAGAACTTATTTGAACAAATAATAAAGGAGAACTTCTCCAATCTGGCAAAGGAAATAGACTTCCAGGAAGTCCAGGAAGCTCAGAGTCCCAAAGAAGTTGGACTCAAGAAGGAACACACCAAGGCACATCATCATTACATGAGCCAAGATTAAAATGAAGGAGAGACTCCTAGAAGCAGCAAGAGCTAAGGGGACAGTCACCTACAAAGGAGTTCCCATCAGACTGTCAGTGGATTTCTCAAAAGAGACCTTACAGGCAAGAAGGGGCTGGAAAGAAGGATTCCAAGTCATGAAATCCAAAGACCTACATCCAAGATTACTCTATCCAGCAAAGCTTTCATTTAGAATGGAAGGGCAGATAAAGTGCTTCTCAGATAAGATCAAATTCAAGGAGTTCATCATCACCAAGCCCTTATTACATGAAATGTTAAAGGGACTTATCTAAGAAAAAGAAGATAAAAAAGATGAACAGTGAAAGGACAGCAAACTCACAGTTATTAAGAACCACACCTAAAACAAAAGCAATCCAACAGGACAGCTAGACCAGGAGTAGAACCAGAGAAATGAAGATCACATGAAGGGTTAGCAACAGGGGAGTAGGAGAAGGAGAAGGGGGGAGAAGGTACAGAAAATAAGTAGCATAGATGGTAGGTAGAAAGTAGATGGGGGGAGGGCAAGAATAGTATGGGAAATATAGAATCTAAAGAACTTGAGACACATGGTCATAAACTAAAGGGGGGAATGGTGGGGGATGGGGTGTGCAGGGTGGAGGGGAATGAAGGGGGGAATAGAACAGCTGTAATGGCATAATCAATAAAATATATTTAAAAAAAGAGAAATGAATCTTGACCCCTACATCACACCGTACATAAACTCTATTCCAGATGACTTATGTAAGCAGGAAGAAAGAAGACTTTTTTTTTCTTTTTCCTTCTTTTTTTTTTGAATATCCCTTTTTCAGTTTTACTTTTTTTATTGCATTTTTTTGTTACCATTTAGTCCCCCTATGCTTCCTGCAGTCACCACACTGCTGTCCATGCCCATGTGTCCTTTTTCCTTTTTCCTTTTTGCTCAATCCCTCCATCCCTAGCCTCCCTCACCCCCACCCCCCAGCTGTCATCTGCTCTCCACCTATGAGTGTGTCTCTATTTTGCTTGTTAGTTCAGTTTGTTCACTAGATTCCACATAGGAGTGAAATCATATGGTATTTGTCTTTCTCTGACTGGCTTATTTCACTTAGCATAATATTCTCCAGGTAAAATTTCCTTTTTCTTTTTCATAGCTGAATAGTATTCCATTGTGTAAACGTCCCATGGTTGTTTTATGCACTCATCTACTGATGGACATTTGGGCTGCTTCTGTATCTTGGCAATTGTAGATGATGCTGCAGTGAACCTAGGGGTGCTTTTGTTCTTTGGAATTAGACTTAAATGTTAGACCCAAAACCATAAAAATTCTAAACGAAAACATAGGCAGCAAAACCTCAGACATAACTCGTGGCAATATTTTATCAGGTGTGTCTCCCCAGGCAAGGGAAACAGAAAAAATAAACAAAAATAAACAGAAAAACTTTAAAACTGAAAAGTTTTTGCACAGTAAAGGAAAACATCAACAAACTAAAAAGACAACCCACAGAATAGGAGAACATATTCACCAATAAATCTGATAAAGGGTTAATATCCAAAATTTATAAAGAACTTACAAAACTCAGCCCTGGCTGGTGTAGTTCAGTGGATTGAGCGTGGGCCTGAGAACCAGAGGATCCCGGTTCAATTCCCACTCAGGGCACATGCCTGGGTTGCAGGCCAGTTCCCAGTAGGGGACGCATGAGAGGCAAATATACATTGATGTTTCTCTCCCTCTCCCCTTCTCCTCTAAAGATAAATAAATAAAATCTTTAAAAAAAAACCTTACAAAACTCGACACCAAAAAAACCCCACAAGCAACTCAATTTAAAAATGGGCAAACGACCTGAATAGACACTTCTGTGAAGAGAACATACAGAGGCCCACAGACATATGAAAAGATATTCAGCATCACTAATCATCAGAGAGATGCAAAGTGAAACCACAGTGAGACATCACCTCGCACCTGCCAGAGGGACCATCACCAGCAAATCAACAGACAAGAAGTCTGGTGAGGGTGTGTGGGGGGGGTGCTTCTGCACTGTTGGTGGAATGCAGACTGGTGCAGCCACTGTGGGAAACGGGATGTAGATACCCCAACAGTTTAAAAATGCATCTGCCTTTTGATCCAGCCACCCCACTTCTTAGAATATTTCCAAAGGAACCCAAAACACTAACTCAAAAGAATGGAACACTTCTCACCCAGCAACAAGCCCAGCCAATAGGAACTAGTGCGACTCAGCCAATGAGAAGCCCTCACCACCCTCCGCTCTCACTTTCCACCACAAGCCTTTCCTCCAGAGCACCCACCCACCCCCTCCCTTCCCTCTGTGAAGTAACCTTCCTCTTCTCCGTTGAGTGGGTTTGCCCATAGGTTTGGCTATGCCATGCTTGGCCCGAATCACAATTCTCTGCTTTTCCTGAATAAGCCTGTTTTTTTTTTTTTGGCTGGTGAAAATAAAAATAGCTCTCACAATACAGTTCCAGAATCCAAGGCCCATGCAACAGGACTTAGTATTCAAGTATAAACTTGTTGAGTGTTTGGCATTTTGTGAACTCACCATACTACAACTTTAAAAATACGGTTGCTTTGGGATTAGCTTCAAATTCTTTGGAAACTTTGTAAGTGAAATGCAGTGGTACGTTAGAACAGAAGTTTAGTGGAAAACTGGTTCGGAATATTATGTATCCACGTAAACCATGGATATTCGTGGGGCTTTTTTTGAGGCCTCGAGTGGTGCACCATTTGCATTCTTCTTAAATCTACCTTGTTACCAACCATCACCACTATTTTGTCCTAGAATGACTAGGTAGCATTTGGGGCCAACTGGTCAACCATGGCGGGAGTCTCCCCGCAAAGACAAGGAGTACCACTCCAGCAGGAAGTGACTCAGCTGATACAAAATTTCCAGGTTTACTTTCAAATGGGATCTGTAAGAGCTAAACAGCTTGCTCGGTAGAAAGGTCGCAGTCCTAGGAGTCCGGCTGTGGCACTGGGAAGCTGTGGGGAAGTCGTGTGACTTCAAACTTCACTTTCTTTGACATAAACAGTACAGACCCTTTGGTTCACAGGCTGGCACTCAATCCACTGGGCCACACCAGCTGGGGCTGAAGTACTCATTTTTAAATGACTTTCAAAAAGCGAAATCAAACGAACTTGATTAAATATCCGGTTGGACTGAGGGTGACTAAAGCTTTAACTTATTAAGTACTTCAGGGAGAAGAAAATAATCCCAAGGTGGCACCGAATTTGCACCAGCAATGGCTGGGAGTCTGTGAACAAAAGGGACCGAGCCTGTGAAGGGGCACAAAGAGGTTTGGTTTCAAACGCACCCACCCTCCCTTGGTCCTCTCTGCTCTGAGCTCACAGAATCCCTTTTATGCTGAGGTTCCGAAACAAAAACGAAACGTGGTCAGTCTCCGCAACAGCTAAAGCAGCTTTCGAATTCTTTCTGAAAAGGCAGCCGACTTTCCTAACTCACGACTTCCAGTACCTGTTAAAGATCCACGAACAACCTCAGAGGGTAGTTAGGGCTGCCCCACGTAGGATGCTGCTCTAATGGTGCGCACATGTCATTCAACCCTCGTCCGCACCCACAGACTGTGCAGCACCAAGAGTGGACCCTGATGTGAGTGACGGGCTTTGGGCTGCACTAATGTGCGGGTTTGTTCCCTGTCATGGACCTAACGCTCTGGTGCAGAGAGGTGCGTCTGTGTGGGGGGCGGGGACGGGAGGTGTGTGATAACCCTGTTTTCTGCTCAGTTTTGCTAGGAACTTAAAACAGCTCTCAGAACAACAAAACAAGCAAGCAAGCAAAATACAAACAAAGACACTGAAACAGAGAACAGGGGGACAGCGACCAGAGGGGAGAGGGGAGGAAATTTAAAGGGAAAAAGGGGAGGGATTTAGAGGAACAAGTATAAAGGACACAGGGACAATAACTAAGGGGGGTGGAAATGGGAGGGAGGTGGGGAGCATGGGGGGGGTGGGCTGGGATGGGAAAAATAGACAAAAAACTGTACTTGAAAAAAGAAATAAGGTTACTCAACTAATGTGAGGCACATACTTAAAATAACAACAGGAAACTGACTTCGCCTAACCAATGCACTTTCTTTTCTGCCGACCCAGTAAAGACCGAGCCCTGACCTTGGTGGCACCACGTTCAACCGTGGCGTTTGCTCCTGTTAGTGGCGAGGCAAATGTATCACAGTGCTCGGACACGTGGCCTTTATTTATTTTGGTATCTGTGGGGTCTGTGTAAATCATTCGTGTGTTTTATTTAAAAATGCAGGTTCTACCCCGGCTGATGTGGCTCAGTGGGTTGAGAACCAGCCTGCAACCCAGAGGGTCGCTGGTTCAGTTCCCAGTCAGGGCACATGCCTGGGTTGTGGTCCAGGTCCCCGGTTGGGGGCACACAAGAGGCAACCACACATGAATGTTTCTCTCCCTCTCTTTCTTCCTCCCTTCCTATCTATCTAAAAATAAATAAATAAGATCTTTTCTAAAATGCAGGTTTTGATTCAGTTGTTTGGGAGTTGGGTCTGAGATTCTGCCTTTCTGACCAGCTCCCCAGTGGTGCTTGGAGAAGTAGGAGGACGCTGGGCAAACACGCGTCCCCTTGCTTACCTGGACCGCCACTGGACCGCAGTGTGCCCAGAGACTCGCTGTAAAGGGCGGTTCTTGTGGATCTCGAACACACTCCTCTGCTCAGTGTGATTCTCCTTTCTCCAAGTCTCATTAGTGCTCTGCTTGAGGTCCTCGTGGAACTTGGCTCGTTCCGTTGTTATACTGACCTGTGGATGTGTCTTAGTCCCCCTGCCCCTCTCTGCCTCCACCCTCCCTCCTATAACGCGTTCTCATAGAGCCTGACTGGGCCTCACCCTGCAAGGTGAAAGGTCACTGCTTTGGCCTGAGGTCGCCCCCAGCCTGTCAGGGCTCAGTCCCTGGGTTGGGGTGCTGGCAGGGTTCCCCTGTCAGGGTGTAGCCCTCCTTCCATCAGGGCATTGTCGGGGCACAGTGCCCCCAGTCAGGGTGGTCCGGGGTCAGTCCAGATGCACATGGGAAATATATGGGTTTCTCTCCCTCTCTTTCTCCCTCCCTTTCTCTCCCACTCTCTTTTAAAGATTTTATTTATTTCTTTTTAGAGGGAAAGTAAGGGAAGGAGAAAGAGAGGGAGAGAACCATCATTGTGTGGTCGTCCTTCACACACCCTCTACGGGGGACCTGGCCCCTATGGGGGACCAGTCCCAGGCATGTGCCCTGACTGGGAATCGAACTGGCAACCCCTTGGTTCACAGCTCGTGCTCAATCCACGGAGTCCCTCTCAGTCTTAAAAAATATATTAAAATATATTTTTTAGAGACAGGGGAGGGGAGGGAGAAAGAGAGGGAGAGAAACATCCATGTGTGGTGGCCTCTCATGCGCCCCCTACTGAGGACCTAGCCCACAACCCGGGCATGTGCCCTGACTGGGAATTGAACCGGCGACCTTGGTTCACAGCCTGCGCTCAATCCGCTGAGCTACACCAGCCAGGGCCCTTCTCATTTGTCCACAGTCTCCCTGGGTGAACTCTTCCATTCCCATTTTTCCAGGCTGATGATATCTATCTATGTCTGTGTCCCCATCCTAGGTCTTTCTCTTGAACTCTTGCCACGTATAATCGATGTCTCCCTGTCCCTCTTTTACCACATCCAGTCTATAGGTATCTTGTTCATGTTTTTATTGTAAAAACGTGTAACCTGAAAGTTACCGTTTTAAGGGTACAGTTCTGTAGTGTTAAGTATAGTCACATTTACCTATGAAACAGGCCGCAGCTGTTTATATATATATATAAAATTTTTAAAGCTGAAATCAAATATGTAGATTTCAAAAAGTTCTCATGGATTCCTGTACTTTTCATTAAGGACTCTCATAACAATTCTGATTAAAGAATTCTTTTTATCATTGCTGACATGAGTGTCTCCCCTACTAAATCAAAGCCTCCATGAGGCCAGGTATCACATTTATATTGTGAGATACTGTATCTCCATCATTGCTGCCGTATCTGGGACAATATCTGTTGAATAAATGAACGAATTATAAGATTCTTGGAAAGAGGGGAGAGGGGAGGGAATTTCATGGGAAAAGGGGAAGGATTCACAGGAACAAGTATAAAAGACACACGGACAAAAACTAACAGGGGTGGAAATGGGAGGGAGGTGAGGAGCCCGGGGGGGAGGGGCTGGGGTGGGAGTAAAAGACAGAAAACTGTACTTGGACAATAATTAAATTTTTTTAAAAAGATTCTCGGAAAGAGAAACTCTGTCTCCCTTGGAGAACCCTGCCTTGGACCCGGCACACAGTGACTTAGTAAATAATTGTTGGCTTAATGACCATAATCTCAGGAACGCTCACCAAACATTTTCTCCTGTTCATAGTAGCGCTATGCACCGGAGCTGGGAGGGGGAAGCCACGTGGAATATTATTCAGCTTGAAAACAGAGGAAAATGCCGTCACATCCTGCACGGTGCATGAACCTTGCGAGCATTAGGCCAAGGGAAATGAGTCACTCACAGAAAAAGACAAATAATGTATGATTCCACTTATACGAGGGACCTGGTACGGTTCAAAATCCTAGAAAACGGAAGTAGAAAGGTGCTGTTCAGGGGCCAGGGGAGGAAGAGTGAGGAGTCGTTGTCTAATGGGTATGAAGTTTTCGTTCTGCAAGACAAAAACAGCTGCGGCCTGTTTCATAGGTAAATGTGACTATACTTAACACTACAGAACTGTACCCTTAAAACGGTAACTTTCAGGTTACACGTTTTTACAATAAAAACATGAACAAGATACCTATAGACTGGATGTGGTAAAAGAGGGACAGGGAGACATCGATTATACGTGGCAAGAGTTCAAGAGAAAGACCTAGGATGGGGACACAGACATAGATAGATATCATCAGCCTGGAAAAATGGGAATGGAAGAGTTCACCCAGGGAGACTGTGGACAAATGAGAAGGGCCCTGGCTGGTGTAGCTCAGCGGATTGAGCGCAGGCTGTGAACCAAGGTCGCCGGTTCAATCCCCAGTCAGGGCATATGCCCGGGTTGTGGGCTAGGTCCCCAGTAGGGGGCGCATGAGAGGCCACCACACATGGACGTTTCTCTCCCTCTCTTTCTCCCTCCCTTCCCGTCTCTAAAAAAATAAACAAATAAAATCTTTGAAAAAAGAAAAATGAGACAAGAACATCCTGTTGAGAACAAAGGCTGAGGAATATCTCCACTAGGGCAGAGGAAAATGAAGCGGAAACACGCACGAGTCATGCGGTTGGTGACGGCGAACGCAGCCAGGCCCCAGATCAGCAGCTCTCTGCACTCTGGCCGTCAGCATCCTCTCCCTGCTTCCCACAAGCAAACAGGGCCCTGACTTCCATCAGCACAAGCTACGTTTTGTCTGGTTTTGAACCTCTACGAATGGAATCGCTCCCTCTAAGGTATAATCTGTTAGGTCCAGCTTCTTTCACTGAGTATTGTGCTGATAAGTTGCCTTCACAGCGTGTATAGAAGTAATTTGTTTTCTATGGGCATTGGGGTTATTGATGAAAACTTTGTCGTATATGTTTTTGGGTGCAGGTAAGTGTATGTTCCCGTTGGCTGTGTACCCAGGAGATGCTGATGTTCATTGTCAGTGCGTACTACCGAACACTTAGGGGTTACTGCCACACACGTTTTCCTGAGTGGCTGTAGCAATTCACATTTCCACGTGCAACGTGTAAGTTTCGGTTACTCTGCACACTCACCAGCACTTGGATTTTCTCAGTGTTTTTAGTATCTGTCATTCTGATGAATCTATACCGGCTTCTCATAATCATTTTATTTTCCATTTTCCTGATGACAAGTAAGGTTGAGCCTCTTTGATGTACTTATGGCCTCTTTTATGAAGTATCTTTTCAAGTCGTTTGCTCCAATTTCACTTTTCAATTTGGGCAGTACTAGGCCCTAACTGGGTAGCTCGGTTGGCTAGAGCGTCATTCTGACCCTCTAAGGTTTTGAGTTCAGTCTCCAGGCATGGCATTTACAAGAGGCAAACACTAAATGCATAAATAAGTGGAATAACAAGTCAATCTAGGGGTAGAATTCGTGATGGAAAGGGAGAGTTTCTCTCTCCAAAATCAAATAAAAAAAAAACGTTACTATTCTCAACTCTTTTATTTCCAGATACATTTCAGAAACAACTTAGTCTCTGTCCCCCGAAGTCCCAGAGTCTGACTGGTCTTCCGTGGAGTCTCTAGGTCAATTTGGGGAGAATTCACATCTCTACAGCGCTGAGTCATCCAGTCCATGAGCATGGTGCTATCTCTCATTTATGGGGGCTTCCTTTTATTTCTCTCCATAATACTTTAAGTTTTCTATGTAAAGCCCTTCCAAATCTTTCACATGACTTATCCCCAGACATTTGATGCATTCTGTTATTATCAATGGTAATTAAAATTTTAATTTCCTAATTGTTTGTTACAGGTATACAGAAACACAGTTGATTTTTATAAATTGACCTTTGATCTAAACTCATTTGCTATTTCTAACAGTTTCTCTGTAGATTTTTTTCAGATCGTATACATGGATGAGCAATCCTGCTTTGTGAATAATTTGAGTTTTAGTTCTTGGTTTTCAATCTTCACGCTTTTCATTTCCTTTTCTATATTCCTGCACTAGCTAGAACCCCTGGTACAAAGCCGAATAGAATTGATAGTAGCAAGTATCATTTCATTCTTAGTCTCAGGGGGATCCTGAAATACGGTGTCGACTATAGATCTTAATACAGATAATGTTTAACCAACCAAGGATGTCTCCTATTTTTAGTTCAGGGAAACATTTGATCATGAGTCCCCTAATTTTACCAAATGTTTCCCTGAATCTATTGGCATAATCATATTGTTCTTTCTTCTTTATTCTGTCAGTGCGATAAACTGAAATGTGAGGGAAGCGTCACTTGAGTGTCATCGCTGGGGACTGTGCTGGGCTGAGTGTGGCCTTCTCTCTCCGCTTTCACACCATGAACCACGCAGTAACTAGGTGAGCCCGGAGCTTCTCTCCTGCTGCGGGCAGAGCGCCTGCAAGAATGTGAGGTCACCCCAGAGGAAGTCAAAGCCCAGATACGGGGAGAGGGGACGAGAGAGAGAGAGAAAGACACCCGCACAGAAAATAATGTTGGTGACAACGTCTGAACCCTCATCTAGCAATACCTGAACTTTCCCTGGATAGACAAGATCTACGAACCAATGAAATGAAATTTTTTTTATTCAAGTACTTTGCGTTGATTTCATTTATATTCAGCATTGCCCATCTTGCTTGGAAGATTTTCCCAAGCCGGTTGCACAGATCCTGTCACACTGTTGAACAGGGGCTGCATTTCCATCCCAGTTGAGTGAGGGGATGGGACACGGGACTGGGACCGGGCACTGAGCTGGGACATGCAGCCCGAAGCAGCCTCAGCCAGGCGGTCAGACGGGAGAGCGGGCGTGGAGACCACACAGGCCCACGTCCAGGCACTGACCTCTAAATCCACGCACCTGCGGGCTCTTACCTTACTACACGAGTCAGTTCCCCAGATATAAAGACCTTCAGCCCTTTATCCTGGCCTTTGGGATGGGTACAGAATTATCCAACCTGCCCTCCAAATTACAGATAAAAATTACTCTAGGAACTTCTAGACGATGGCAGGTGTGGGGAGACAGGGAGCAAGAGAGCCAGTGACACAGACAAACTTGGGGCAAAGAGGAAGATTCACGACTCAAGAAAAACCAAGGTTTTTTTCCTAATTTTATGGAGATGCCATCGTCACTGCTATGATCCCTAGATGGACTGACGCCTCGGGAGTTCCCGGCCCGGGGTCGGCCCCGCATGCCCGTGGGCCCCTGCCTAAGACACTGGTTTAATGAAGCCGTAGTCCATGCACTTGACGAGACATTCCCGGGCTGTCTGAACCACCGCCGCCTTCTTCTCATCCGGCTCCTGCTTGCCCACCACGGTCAGGATCTCCAGCAGCTCGCTCTCCACCAGCTTCTTGGCCAGCTCCGCGTCGGCCGCCAGCAGGTTGTAGGCGACGACTAGGCCCCGGTGTTGGATGCGGAGCTGGTCGTGCAGGCAAAGCCTCTGTAGGATCTCCAACCACTGAGTTGTCTGGAGCGGGGACGGCGGTTGGAGGAATCAGTGAGGGGACAGAGAGAGGAGATTTTGGACAAGACGAACAGAAGGCATCGGCCAGGCCCAGATTCTGGGCTCTGAAAGGGCAAGCACAACCGTGGTCGTGTGTGTATCCGGGACTCAGCGTGTACCTACGTGGGTCCCTTGGGTCCCTGGAGCCCAGGAAGTGGGGGAGTCGCAGAGCGCCCTGCGGGGGACGGGTGGTAGGAGTGTGCGACCAGTTGCTGCAGCAGAGGCTGCTGAGGGTAGCCGTCAGCACCCCCCACCCCCAATTCCGAATCAGAATATCTGGGGGAAGTGTTTTAACCAGCCCCTGCCCTCCCGTGACTCTTGCACGCCCTGCAGGGTCGACACGCTTGTCTCAGGGAAAGTGCTGAAGCCCAGGGACCAAGCAGGACGAGCCGGGTCTGGCAGGGACACCCCTCCCCTGGGGCCAGGGCAGCACCAGCACTGTGGACCTCAGGGAACACCCCCACCACATGCACCCCTACGTTAAACTGGGTATCCGAAAGAGCCTGCCTTGAACGCAGACTCGATTTGAATACGTTTGGATCGAGGTGTTTACATTTTTCTCCTCCAGCAGAGACGACGGTGGTGAACTCGGTTCAGTTTGGAGAAATAAAGTTCCCTTTTGCACCCCCATGCTGGTGACCATCAATATCCCTTTCATTACACCCTGCTGCGATGGCCACAGCGCCACCAAAGGAACTGGACACTGCGTCCACTTCAGAGAGCTCCCCCTGGAGTCCCAGCCACGCCCACGCTTCTCCCGGGGAGCCTGAGGCTCCACCGCAGTGCTTGGCGTTGGGGCTGCTAATGCGGTTAGTCTTTCATCACGAGCCCCAAGCGCCACCAAAGGCAGCGGGTGAAGCCGCAGCGGAAGAGACTTGACCTGGAAAACTCGGAGAGTTCAAATAATGAACACAAGGGGCCACAGGGTGTAGACTCTCCTCTCCGTGGGTGGTAGGAACAGCTGGGCTGAGAGTGGTTCCCCCGCAGGGAAGGACCATGCAGAGCGCGTGGTCTGGGCACACAGAGGTTCCCTAGAGCCCACCCCTCCCAGCCCCCAGGGCCCTCTCTCACCACTTGGGTCATCTTGAGGCACAGTTTCTGCTGGGCTGCCGTCAGCATGGCCAGGGCCCCCGCGGCTGCGTTCTGCACCTTTTCGTCGTCCTCCCCGCAAAGCAGCACCAGCAGCTTCAGCCGGTCGTTCCCATCAGCCAGGAACCTCTCCTGCACCTATGGGAGGGGGGGCACGCGGCTCAGAGGAAAGTGCCTTCGCCTGCCAGCCCGGGGAAGGAAAGATGCACCTGAGGCCACGTTTTCTGACCCAGGATCTCTCGGACCTTTCCTTAGAAAAACTCACTCCACCTCCCCCAGGAAGTCTTCCCTGATTAGCTGGATGAAGGGGGTATAGTATGGTCCAACTAGAAGGTTAGAGAAAACAAGGGATTTCCCAGACAGTGTGTGCCACCATCTCTGTCTGCATTTGGCCAGCCACTGGGGAAAGAGGCCGACACAGACTCTTCAAGGGTAGATGTGCCCCGAAGAGCGTGGCCCCCTTCCATCTGCGGAAGCCTGGAGTGTTTCTCTCATAGCAGCTGGGCCTTCGGGGTCTGCCCTGCAATGACTGCGGAGCCCCCAATGGCACCGGGGTGTGGCAGGAGCGGGGGGATGGTGGGTAGTTTATCTGGTATTAAAGAGACGAGGCTTTCCAAGGATCCAAAAGAAGGAGAGGAGCCCCTGGGGCCCAGGGCCCTGACACAGCCCACTGACCCCTCTATCCCTCCGCTCTACAGTGATATGTGATTGGTCAAGTTTAAGGGCATTTCATAGGGTCAGGTGTCCTAGAAGTGGAGCTCCAAAAGGAGTCCGAGATCAGCGCTGCCCAGGTTACGAGACCCTCCCCACCCCGTGTCTCCCTGGAGCTGGATCGGGGTCCCCAGAAGTGCGAGTGTGGCAGCGAAGGTCAGTGCGGTCCCTCCTCATGGGACACAGCTGTGAACGGGAAGCAGCGGCCCCACAGGAGTGTGTTCCCCCACGCCTCGCACCTACAGGTGTCATGACCGGTCTCAGCAATGGGTCGAGAGTGGGAGCGATGTGTGTCACTCCCAGGCCACCAGGGTGAGCCCTGCAGGTGCCCCTCGCAGGGTCCCTCTCCCCGTCCGCCGTCTGAATAGAGGTCACTCCCAAAGGGAGGCAGAGGGAGGCGGTTCTCCGTGATCAGAGAAGCCTGGACCCGTGAGTCACTGCTTGGACCTGAGCTGCCCAGTCCAAACACAAGTGAGAAACGATGCCTGAAAAAGGAGTCCTCCTGTCGGGCAGCGGCACAGCTAGGTTTCGCTTGTCGTGGCAGCTGGTGCTCCCCCGGGAAGGCTCCCTGCCGCCCCTTCCCAGTGCGTCCCCCTCCCCTGCGCTGGGACCCACGGACTTCAGGTGAAGAGGGCAGGGTGTGCCTCACGCTGGGCCCCTTGGCCTGGCCCCCACATCTGAGAAGAAGGAGACTTGGAGGATGGACACCCTGCCGTTACCTCCGAGAAGCAAACAGGCAGAGCAAACGCCTCTACTGGGGGGGGGGAGGACGTGCATTCACACATGGCTGCACTGGTCCCATTGCTGGACCATGAGGCCGCCGACCCGTTCCGAACTCACTGTATATTACAAGGCCCGCGATCACTCTGTGCAGAGCACAGTTACAGTGCCGCGCAGTTCCTACGGCAACGGCAAGGGTTTATTCACGTTAACATCGAAAACATTCTAAAACTGTTGTGCTTGCTTCGGCAGCACACAGACTGAAATTGTAACTGCTTTTGCATTTCTTCCATGCACAGAATGCATGTGGAATAATATACAGGATGTATTATATATGTGGAGCTTCAGTAAATGCAACTGGCTGGGCCTCTCCTGACCTCTAAGAGGCCCTGGTCTCATAACCTGCTTTGCTCTCAGGTCATTCAGACCAAAATACTGCAGGTAAATAAATGGTCTACCTCATCCAGTGCAAGCTCTGGGGTCGAAGCCCCAGCTGGGGGTAACCCTACTTTGCTTTCTTTCGCCTCCTTTGTGCCTGTATTCCCCTCAGGGCCCCTCAGGATGGAGGCTGCCATCCAGGAAAGATTTAGGGTTCCTGGTTCTCTGGCAGAAACGTCACTGTAACGCCGTGATGACAGCCCAGCCTCGCGCCAGGCCCAGGCCTGAGGCCCGACTCCCGGCCCCCTTCGCCCCTGCCCCGTGCCGTCCCCGCACCTCCTTGTTCAGCACCATGTTGCACATGCACTCGGTGGCTGCCTGCCGCAGCTGGTCGTGGTTCTCGAACATGTAGTTCTCGATGTCTGGCAGGGCCCTCTCCTTAAAGATCTTCTGCCTGGGGCGGGAGGGGCGGAGGAAGGGAGGCCACTGAGTTCTCTGTGGTGAACAGTTGGGGTGTGGGGCCACCCGGGTGCCCTCTCTGCACCCTGGTGGTGTCCCTCCCACGTCCTCGGCCGGCCTGGCTTCTGTGGCCTCGATACTGCACCCAGCTCCGGGAGGGGCGCCAGTGGGCATGAACCAGATGTCATGGCGCAGCATCCTGGCCACAGTGACGGGTTCCAGGATGACAATGTTACCCAGCTGGAGGTTTTTTTCTGTTATTTCTGGGGAAGAGAAAGTCTCTTCCTCTCCCTTTCCTGCTGGGTACGAAGCCAAGAAGAAGATGAAGCCATGTCCTGCTGGATGTGAAGGTGAAGCCCCGTGACTGTGGGGGAGGGGGAAGACCCCCACCCCCCGCCCCTGGAGACCCCAGAGAGCAGAGAACCAGGCCCAGGTCAGCTCTGTAACCCCTGCATGAAGCCACACCCCAGACTTCTTATCTCCATGAGCCACTAACTTCCCTTTATGCTTAAACTGGTCATAGTTGAGAGTTCTGCCACTTGGCGCCAAATGAATCTCAACCCAACACAGCCGCCCCTGCTCCTGAGAAGGAGCACACTTTCTCCCACCTGTCCCCCGGGGTATCTGTTTACAACTTCAGAAGGAAGTCTTTTCATAGTCTCCTGTGGAGGGTGAGCTCAAATCCCTCCCACTGGGTTCTCTTCCCACTGCCTTTGACCCTGGTCTTGGAGCAGAGTGGCTTCCCCACAGGGTAGGGAAATCCAACCGAACCCTCCCTGGGACACGGGTCTTCGCCTCTGCCCCCTCCGCGCCCCGCTCACCGCAGCTTCTCGCTCCGCCCGGACAGGTTGGTGAGGCCGAGCAGGGCCTCGTAGTTCTGCAGCCCGTCCCTCTGTGTGTCCAGGAGGCTCACGAGGGGCCGCACCACCTCGTACACCTGAGGGGCGGGGTGAGCAGTGGGTCAGGTGGAGACCAAGATCCCTGTTTCTGACGTTTACAGGTGTCCAGCTTTAGAATGTCTAAAGCACTGGTCCACCCATTGTCTGATTCGACCTCGACAATGACCCTGAAAGGCAGGGTCATTTCCTTTACTTTGCAGACGAGATGGGTTCCAAAAGGACAGCCCCGTTCGTTAGTCACAGGCAGAGCTAACTCTGGAGTCTGGAGCCTCCAATTCACGGCCCCCTCTGTGCCAGCACCATGCCCCCTCCCAAGCCAGAAGCAGGGGACAAGAAGAAAGGCCCCTCGGGGCAGAGAAGACTCCTCCCAACGCCCCACCCCACCCACCCAGACACCCACCCGCTCCCCGGGGAAGGCCAAGTCCGGGTTGGAGACCGCAGCGATCTTTGCCAGGGCATGGGCTGCCTTCACCTTGCCCACGTCAGTGCCCTCCAGAGCCAGGGGGATCAGGGCCTGCGAGAAAGGGTACAGTCACTCCTGGGCCACAGACACCCTGAGGCCCCCTCCCCATCCTCCAGCTGCTGCCTGTCTGTCCGATCCATCAGAAGTTCAGCAGGACTCTGCCATATAATCAACGCTCGGGCATCACGGAGAACAATGAACCACGTAGTCACAGATTCACCCCACCCCTGGGTCCCAGTGCACATCGAGGACTCATCCTCACTCTCCCGACCATCCATATGCTTATTCAGCTTTGGGAAAAGCAACTAGATCGGTACACTGATGTTTCACTTTCTGCCTAAGTCAAACCTAACCACAGCAGCCACCATTTCTTGAGCACCTACTTTAAGTGTATTTCCTCTAACCCTTGTGACAGTTTGCAGAGTGAGTGTGTGATTCCCCAGATGAGGACACTGTGGATCAGGGAGATTGAGTAATTCGCCCAAGACTGAGCAACTAACTAGGGGACGAGCAAAGACTCAGTGGCCAGCCTTCCGCAACCAAGTCCACGGTCTTTGTATCTGCACTGTGCTTCCTTCCAGGGGGTGGCCAGGGGGACAGGGGGACAGCAGGTCCCAGGACACGTCACAGAATCAGGCAGAGGTTGGACTGGGGCAATGCACACAGACAGCACAGTGACCTGAATGGCCATATTCCAGGAGGTCGGGTTGGGGCAGGGGGTACATTATTCTTGAGCCAGGCCAACAGTGTGCATGCTTGTGTGCCAGTGTGGGTGTGCGTGCACACACACACCAGGTGTGCTCCTCCCCAGCACAGCTCCTTCTGGGATGGCAAAAACCCTGTCTCGCCCACTTACCTTGCCACCACCTTGAGCCACAATGGTGCCTCGGTCCTTTGGGTTGTCACACAGTGCCAGGAATACCCTGCAGAGTAAGGACACAGGGCATGTCATGCACCAGCAAGTTCCCTCCCAGGCACCAGCCGCCAGCCAGTGGGAGCCAGGGAAGCTCAGGAAGGTGCTGCCACTGTGCATCGTGGGAAGATACTACCGAGAACATCAGTGGCTGGGGAGGAGGTGAGCCAAGTGAGGCTGCAAAGAGCCACCTCATGGTGGGTGTCACTTAGGGAGACAATGAGTGGCTCCTCGCTGCCCGCCAACCACGAGAAGCACGTCAACAAAGAGGCACCCCAGGACCTCTGTGACCAGGCCCTGTCTCCCTCTCTGGTTTTTCCTAGCACTGCTCCCTCCTACACACACTCCAAGCTACTGCAGGGGAACCCCGAGCCCACTCGTTCTTCCTCCATCCTTGGTGTCTTTGCAGGCCCGTTCCGGCCACCTGGAAGCCTTCCCTCCCCTGCAGCTGAGTGGCTCCTTCTGTTCCTTTGGGGCTCCCCGGAGCTGTCACACCCACCAGGAGGCCTTCCTGGCTGCCCACCCTCATTCCATTGCGTCGTAACTGTGACCCTGTCCGCCTCCCTGTCCCCTGCCCCAGGCTGCACTCACACGGTGCTCTTCATCTCCGAAATAGCAGGGGGTCCCACACAAAGGCTGGAACCAGGTCACCAGTCAGAGAGTGACCTCTTTCCTCCTGATGCGAACTTCCACTCGTGATCCCTGGTGCCCCATGTCACTTTTCTGTGACGGTCCCCTTTAGGCTCCTCGGAGGCCCCTCAGCGGCCCATTTCCTTATTTACTCCCTGCCCCTTCTACCTGGTGTTCCCAGACCCCAGCCCGGCCCACCGAGGCCGCACCTGGCCAGCAGCTCTTTGGTCTGGTCGGTAAGGATGGCGCTGTCCACTTTCACCATGCAGGCCAGCGCAGAGATGACGCCGGCCTTCAGGAGCCGCTTCACCCGCATTTCTATGAAGTCTTTCTTGTCCTGGGGGCACAAAAGGGCAGCAGTGGACAAGGGCCCTGGGCGCCAGGCCAATCGGTACTGGGACGAAGATGGTGCATTTCTGACACCTTGTGGTGCCCAGAATGATACCCCCCAAAAGGTGTCCGTGTGCTAATCCGCAGAACCTGGGAACCCATTACCTTACCTGGCACAAGGGACTTCGCAGACATGATTAAGTGAAGGGCCCTGAGCTGGGGAGATAACCCTGGGTTATCTGGTCAGGTCCAGAATAATCACCAGGGGCCTTATCAGAGGGAGGCGAGAGGTCAGAGGTGGAAGCAGGACAGGTGACAGCAGGAGCAGAGGTGGAAGGGATTCAAGGTCAAAGGCCAAGGCCGGTGGCCTTCAGAAGTTGAAAGAGACAAGAAAAGGTCATGCCCTCAGAGCCTCCAGAACCCGCCCTACCGATTCCTTGACTTTGACCCAATGAAGCCACTTTGGGTTTCTGACCTTCAGAACTGGAAGATAGTAAGTTCGTGTTATTGGGGGCGATGACATTTGTGGCGATTTGCTGCAACAGTAATAGGAAACTGATACACTCCTCTGGATTCCCATCGCCCACACCACAGCCCAGGGGGTTACAGCAGCACATTCTGCCCTTGTGAACCTCGGAGCCACGCCTCCTCCTCCTGGCCCCGCCCCCGGCACACAGCCGGAGTAGCTGGTACGGTCAGGAAATCGATTCCCAAGCCTCTTCATTCACAGAGGAGTGGAATAAAAGAACGGTAATTCCAAACACTAGATGACCCATAGGGTAGTTTTTAGGGATTTTGGTTTTTGTGTTTTTTGCAAATGGTTAACTTTCCATTAGGGTCTGTAGCGGGTGTAGGCAGAGTAAGGGGGAGAGGGTGCAGCTGAAGCTCACACAACAACGGACTGGGTTTTGCTGGAAACCCAAAGTCAGCCCCAGGGTTGAATAGTCTTTATAGGTCATCCTCAGAGTAGCTGGTGCAGACTGCCAGTCACAGGCCATCTCGAGAAGCCACATTTGAACTTGACATCAGCAGCACGCACTATAAGCTCTTGCCTGCCTGAAATACTACGCAGCTTTGGAAAATAATTCGGAGAACGACATCGCCATGAGAAAGCACATAACGTATTTTCCCAAATTGGGTACAAACTGATAAGTATGTTCTGATTATAACTATGTAAAGAAAAAAGATGCACAGAAAAAAAAACCTCTCTGGCAGGGACAGTAACATGCCCAGGTGCTGAGGGCGGTAGAGGGAGGGACGTCATTGTGAGCAGTCAGTCTCCTTTCTCCACCCTCCGCCTTTCTGTTTGTGTTGCAACATGGTTACTTTGGTCACTTTAAAAACCTCCGTGTTTTACTGGCTGGAAATACGATGCACGTACAATACATTCGCATGCAAACCACGTACAAAGTGTACCTGTGTGTGCAGGGCATCCTTGCGGGGGGGGTGGGGTGGGCAAGGGATTTGTGACATCTTGGCCACTGCTGATCTATGTCCCTTCTCCTCTCATTTTTCCTACTTAGCACTCATATCCCTAAATCCAGGCATCCCAGAAAATAAAATGTTTATGTGTTGGGAACATAAAATGCAACTGTCTGATGTCCAGGAAAACAACAACAGAAACGGCAAAGTGTTCAGCATGGCCCTGTTTTCTCCGACTACAAATTGTTGGGTTCCTTACCCACCCCCAACCCCCAAGCCCCACCCCTCACCCCCACCCTGTCAGCCAGTAGACCATTAAAACTAAGAAAAACCTCAGCATCACCTAGTGGGCGAAGTTTGCCATTATCGTCTTCAGTTCACCTTGAGCCAAATTCTCCCAAACACACCCACACAGCACCCTGACCTTTCTTTCCTTTCCAACTCTCTGGAAGTCTGGAGGCACAGACCCCCCTCCCGGGCTGTCCCCATCCGCACCTTGGGGTGCTCCTCGGGCACATGCTGCTTGGAGAACTTGGCCAGCTGTACGAGCTCGGGGATGACCTCCTTGACATCATAGCTGTTGGTGCAGTTCACCAGGGTGGTGGCCACCGAGTACAGGATGGTCTTGTCAGAGGTCTGCGGGTGGGGCACAGGGTAGGCGATCGGGGAAAACAGGCAGAAATGAAACTTTAGAACAAAGTTCTGCGTCCAAGACGGCTCCCTCCACAGGCCCACGAGTTGGTCTGGGCGGAGCATGTGGCCGATGCCGCTCAGTTCAGGGCAAATCCATGCCGCACGGAGGGTGGGGAACTGGCTCTGCTGCCACAGGCTGCACCCCTGACGGCACGCGTGGGAGTCCTCTGAGGGCACCCGCTGCTTCCTGCCTCTTTGAAAAGTTCAGACGGCCCTGGCTAGGGAGCTCAGTTGGTTAGAGTGTGTCCCCACACACCAAGGTTGTGGGTTTGATCCCTGGTCAGGGCACATACAAGAGTCAACCAACGAATGCATGGATAAGTGGAACAACAGATCAATGTTTCTTTCTCTCTCTCTCTCTCTCTAAAAAAATCAATGAATAAAAAAGAAAGGAAAGAAGGAAGAAAGAAAAGTCCAGGCTGACGCACCTCCACATTCCTGCCTGCCTCCCCTGGGGACCGGGTGGGTGCTGGACACCCTCTGGTCGGGCCCTGGGGGAAACCCCCCATACTTCCTCCTTTCCATGGTGAAAATGAGGAGAGGCGCTCCAGAGGGGCTCAGGAGGGGCCCCCAAGAGGTCTGGTGCTGCCTCCTGGTGCTCCGGGTCTCACTTCCTGAGGGTCTCAGGGCAAAATTAATATCCTCTTGTCCATCCTCCTGCTGCTGCCCAGAAGGCACGAAGCGTTGTGAGCCCAGTTTGCAGTCAGGTAAAGTGAGGGTGGGAGAGAGGGACCCGGGTTCCCACGGGGAGCAGCCGCAGAGCCAGGGTGAGGACACAGGGTCCGATTTCCCGGGCGGTGCGCACGCAAGGCCCTGGGAGCCGGACTCCGGGGGATTTTCCCCGAGGCCTCCGGTCAGGGCCGCACTCACCTTGGCCAGCTCAAACATGGCCTGCAGGGCAGGGAGGTCCTGCACAAATTCGTCCTTCACGTCGGCGTCCAGCGTGAGGTAGGCCATGCCCTCCACGGCCCATCGCCGGGTCCGGGTGTCTATGGAGGGATTGCACAGCCACCTGGAATTGAGGGGGGAGAGGCGCTGGGGGAGGGCTCTGGGCCCAGGTGGGGACGGTGACGCCCTTGCTGGGCAGCGGGGCCTTCCAGGATCTGGAGGGGAGGTGGCGCACTCAGGGAAACAGGACCCCTTACTTGCGACACTGTTTGGCCAGCTTCTCCGTGGACCCTTCAGCAAACTGCCTGAGACCATAGTCTGTGCCGCCAGCAGAACCAAGCTTGCAGAGTCCCTGTGAAGGAGGGTGACAGAGGGCATTGGAAAGATCAGAGAGGTCGGGTTTGGGGACAATGCCTTGCTGAAGCCGGTCCCTGAGGCTAGAACACTTTGCCCCTTTCTCTTTGCCTGGATGAACCTCTCTGGGAACTCCAACACTCAGCTCCAGGGCCACCTCTTCCGAGATGCCTTTCCTGAGGCTTCCGGGTGCAGACAGATGCCCGCACTAGAGGTGCTTACCTTAACCCCTTCCCCACCCCCTGACCCCACAGATGTGTTGTGTCTCCACGTTGAAACATCAAGATAATAGTAACCGTGTCTGAAACTGCAAAGCTGAAACTGTCAGACCACAGAAACTGGCCGGGGGATTCTGTCTTTTGCGTGGCAAACTCAGGGGGCACAGAACTGTACCCAGGAGCTTTGGACCGTCGTTAGGAAAAACGTTATCCCGAAGAGAAAACTTACAACAGCAGAAGCTGAAATTCATTTGTGAAAAATTGATACAAACACACAAAAAAATAACTCAAAGCCTCACTAGAACTGTTTACAAGGAAAAGGTGAGTGAAAATAATTTCTGTAAAATGAAGGTGGAAGAAATGAAGCAGTTGGACTGTGCCATGCAGAAACTGATCAACGAAACCAACTGACTTTGGAGTTTGCTCTAAAAATATTTGCTGGGTAAAGCTCATCGGGGTTAGTGCCATCCAAAAGCATGGAGGAGGTGAAAAAGGTGAAATAATTAATAACAATAAGAAGAAGAAGAAGAAACCTCAACATATAATAATCACCAGAGGGAAAGGAGGGGGGGAGGTGGGAAGGGTTAAAAGCACAGAGGTGCCGGTGTCGGAGGTAAAACACAGGGCCCACCATTCTGAACCTAGTTCCCACAACCTCCTGCATGTCAGCCTGCTCGGCAGGGGCCTGCGGTGCCCTCAGGAGCGACTATCTCACTCACCCCGATGTCCCCGCTGCCTGGCCTGGTGTCTGGTCCCCAGCCCACTCACCACCAGCGTGCGGATCTTGATCTTCTCGTTTTTGGTGGTCTTGTAGATCTGTTTGAGCAGCGACACGCCGTTGGTGATGATGAACGTGGCCCGGCTGAGCTTGGTGGAGGCGTGAATGAGGGCCTCCACGGCCACCAGCTGGTCTGCCTCCCGGTCCGAGCCACACAGTGCTACCATCATCTCCATGACCCCTTTCAGCCCCAGCAGCTGATTGCCCAGGTCAAAGGGGCCCTGCAGGATCCCCGACACTGTCTGGATGGCAATCACATTCTTGTCCATGTCCTGGGGGTCAAACTTGCCCCTAAAAGAGAAAGCAGGGGTGGTCAAGAGAACTGGCCCTGTGGGGAGGGGTGGTGGTTGGAAAGGGTGTGAGATTGGGGGGCAGACAGATTTGAATTTGCATTCTGGATGTACCACCCACGTGCTGTGTGACCTTGGGCAATTCACTGAACCTCTCTGAGTCTCAGCTTCTTGATCTGGAAACTAAGAATAGAACTGCTACTTGGATGAGTTACGATGAGGGCAAGTGACATAACCGATGTGCCAGGGGTTGTGTTCCGCCAGAAGCACAGTCTGAGACCACAATTGACATGCAGGGAGTTTATTGGACGAGCTCTTGAGATCGAGGCCTTCTGGGAAAAGGAAGCAAGCAGGACGGGACAGAGGGAGGCCCTGGCTGCATGCAGTCACGACAAAGCCCCGGCCTGTGAAGAGTTCTGGAGCTGAGACCCCCTCAAAGCCGTTCCACCTTGGGGTGGGGACGAGTCACTGGATGCCAGCTGCCCTGGAAGGGGGGACAGGCGAGGGCTGAGGACTGTCAGCCAACAGGCCTCCCAGCAGCTGGGGTGTCAGTGGGGGGTGGGGGGTATGACAGCCACAGCAACAGAAAAGGGGCATGGGGGGTCTGAGCCAGTCACTCCCCCTCTGGTCCCAGGCCCGCCCCCCGTCAGGTGAGGGTGTGGCCTGGACGAGCCAGAAGGTTCTGCTTTGTTCTCAGAACTCACTACAGTATCATCTGTTCTATGGGAAAGTCTTCCTTTGGGGCCGGCAGAGGTGACACCCCTTCTGAACCTCCCATGACCATGACCAGGACCACGACCACGACCATGACCTGCCCAGGCTGGTTCAGAATGGGGAAGCCGGGCAGCTGCGCACCAAGGAAATGCAGATGTGGGTAAAGGAAAGAGGGCAGCGCGGACCAGTCAGAACTCCACGCCCGGGGCTGCAGACCTGGGCCCCCGTCCCACACCTGCCTCTGGATGGCTTGGGGATCTGGGCAAGTCCCTCTGGGGGAAAGGGTCAGCTTTGGAAGCTCTGAGAACCCCTCCAGTTCTGACACTCCAGGTCCTGCCCTTCTCCCCGCCCAGTGCCAGGAACCCTAGAGTCTTCAGAACTAGTGGGCTCCTGCCCTTTAAGCTGGTTCCTCACGCCAGCAGGTGCTCGAACTCCCCCCAGCTCCTGGCCCCTGAGGAAGCAGGGTGGGGACAGCCTCAGGTGCCATTTGTTGGAGGCAGTGACCCCACCCACTGAGCCTCAGGTGACAGACCTGGGGGCGGGGCCTGTGCAGAGGCCACATTCCACCTGCTGACTGGGAGGGGCCTCAATCAAACCCTCAGTCCAAACGCAGACTAGCTGGGTGGCAGTTACCCAAACTCAGTTTGGGACCTCATGAGAGACTCTGAGAAGTTGGCCACAGAACCCAAGGCCGAGGGGGAAAAAGGCTGGAAGAGCCCCAAGAAACTCCAGTGAGACGCCAGGGGCCAGGAAAAGCAGTGGGCAGTATGGGGGGCTGCGGACTTTGGGCCCAATCTGGGGAGCTGAGGAAATGAGCTTTCACATTTTAAAGGTTTTGGGTTTTTTCTTTAATGTGCAGTAGAGACCCCACAAAACTGAACATACGTACTCCCTGGCCCTTCACCAGAAAAGTGTGCAAACCCGGACTGGAGAGAGGAAAAGCGGAGCGAAGGCACAGTCTTCACCTTCCCAAGACTCACGTGGGTGCCTTTTCTTTTTAAAAAAGATTTTATTTATTTATTTTTGGAGAACGGGAAGGGAGGAAGAAAGAGAGGGAAAGAAACCTCAAAGTGCGAGAGGAACATGGACTGGCTGCCTCCTGCCCACGGCCAACAGGGGCCGGAACCCGCAACCCAGGGCCTGGGCCCTGACTGGGAATCGAATCAGCGACCTTTCCGTTTGCAGGAAGATGCCCAACCCACTGAGCCACACCAGTCAGGCGACTGGGTGCTTTCAAACACGCCCCAGCCTGCCAAGTCAATGGTGGGCCCCAGAACCTGAGTCGTGCACAGGTCCGAGGGTCATTGGGATAAAAGAGAAAGGCCCTGCAGCAGCCGGAGGAGAGGACACACAGAGGAACGGAGACTCGGAGAGAGCATGTGCGTCACCAGGGCGATGGAGGGACATGAGAAGACCCAGGAATTCCAGCTGTCACGTTCTTAAGGTCTTGACAGAGCCACACCCCCTCCCTGACAAGCCGAGGTTTGTTTCTTTCAACTGCAGGAAACTGTCGTGGGGCTTGTGTATGTCCAACTGTATTTTGACAGTCCTCCCCGAGAAAGGTGGAGCCTAATTCTTTCCTCTTAAACACAGACCAGACTTACTGACTCCCTTCTAATGGACGGAATGACTTCTGAAGCTAGGTTATAGAAGACATCGTTGTGTCCACCTTGCTCTCTCGGAGCACCCACTCTAGGGGAAGCCAGCGGCGGAGAGGGGAGGTCCGCACGAGAGAATCGAGGCCTCCCACCTACAGCCAGCACCGGTGTGCCAGCCGCGTGAGCTCGCCATCATGGAAGCAGGTCTTCCTGCCCCAGTCAAGCCTTCAGAGGGCTGCGGCCCAGGCCAACATGGACCTGTAACTACAAGAGGACCCCAGAGCCAGAACCACCGGCCGAGCCGCTCCCAAATGGCTGTCGTATTATAATAAAGGATCACTGTTGTTCTGAACTGCTGAGCCTGGGAGTAACTTGTTACCCATCACTGATAACTAACTAATACCGAGGCCGACCCCAAGGCCTCCAGGGAACTCACGTGATGTACTCCTCGCAGATCTTGCGGAAGTGATCGCGTTCTGGGTCACAGCGCAGGTCATCGTAGAGCTTGTTGATGAGGATGGAGGCCAGCATGCGGGTGTTGTCGGTCAGGGGCAGGCAGGACGGCAGGTCTGGGACCTGCCCCACGACCTTCAGGACCTTCCGCAGGCCTACGGGACAGACGGCAGCAGCGATGCGTGTTAAGACCCCTGCTGGACTCTGTCCCCACACACACGGCCCCTCCACGCCCAGTCACGTCTTACCACCAGTCACTCTCCAGCCCGCCTCTGGGAGCACCTGGCTGATCCAGGGCGAAGGGCGCTGCAGTGCGGCCAAGACCCAGGCTCTGCACCTGACCCCGCTCCTACCTGAGCTCCTCGCCTCCCCACCACGGGCCTGTCTGTTCACATTTACAAAATCAAGAAGAACTGACCTCAGAGGACTCTATCAGTGCTCACATTCTATAGGGTGATGTATCACCTTCTTCAAAGATTATTTTATGTTCTCTCTTCTCCAGGCCTCGCTTTCTTTATCTGGAAAATGGGAACAGCACTACCTCCCTCACAGAGTTCGAGGACTCGATGAGGAAATCTAGGGGAAACTGCCCACTGCCAGGCCAGACACATCATAATCACCCAGTGAATATGTATTATTTATTTAGAAGACTGTCTTTACTATTTACTGTTATTTCCCTTGCTCTTCTGTTGAAGACTCTCTGGCGGCTTCCTACTACACATCAGGCTAATTTAATCGTCGTGTACTTGTTGGATAAACGAGTGAATGAGTGAAGAAATAAAGGACTGCCTTCTAGGCACAGAAATAAAACAAATGACCCTCGCCTCAAAGGGGTCGCAACACCGCAGGGAAGACGGACGCGCACAGTGTGACAGGCGCACAGTGGTAGCCCCACGGATGGGGCGATTCGCGCCAACAAGGTAAGAGTTGTGAGTCATTTTGAGCACTTACTCCAAGAGCTTTTTACCCGCGACCTCATCCAGTCCCCACAATAATCCAGCTGGTCTGGAATCATTGTTCCCCTCTTTCACAGCAGAACTCCAGGATTTGAAGAAGTCAAGGAAGTTACCACGCAGCTGGCAAGCGACACAGTGAGGACGCTTCCCCAGCAACGTGTGGTTTCACAGCCCATGATGTTCGCTGTGATGCTGCGCTGTCTCCGGGGTGACAGCTTGCCTCCAGAGCCAGGTTCCAGAGGTGGCAGGAGTCAGCCACAGCTTAGGTGGCAGGTGGAAGTGGGAGGAGGAGCATTCGGATGTTGGGAGGCATGAAACCGAGTGGCGAGGCTGAACTAACAGGGCTCAACGGTGAATTTCACACTGTGTGCATTTTACTACGTGTACAAAAGCACCAGCAGGGCTGGGGAGGCTCAGGGAGGGAGGGGCCTCGTGCACCAGCCCCGTGCCCCCCAGCCCAGCTGGGCAAGACCACCAAAGCATGCACCTGCTGCACCTGCTGCACCTGCTCCACCTCCCACCACCTTCCCGACCTCGTCTCCCACCGTTCCCTGCCCTCACTTGGAGCATCTCTCATTCACATTCTGCTGGAACGCTCTGCACCTTCTCTCCGTCCCCCTCTGCCCCTCTCCGGATCCCAAGTCGCCCAGCCCAGGCTGCAAAACACACAACCTCCACACGGCAGCTTGTCATTAGTACAGAGTTCGAAGTCCATATTATTTTTACCCAAACGCTATTCATTTGGATGCCTAGAATAATAAATATGGCTCCGCACCGCCCTCCACCATGAACCGCGTGCTGGGCCTCCATCCTCGTGCAGAGAGGCCTGCTGTCGAGCGGTGTGCAGCACAGGCAGAGGCCGGAGCTGGGCAAACGCGTCGGGGGCAAGTCCTACGCACTAGAGTCATTTGTTAACGGCCCTTTGCTGAGACCTGTGAACGCCAGACCCGAGAAGTGTGATATCAGGAGAGAGTGGATTTCAAGCTGGTAAAGCTGACCCGAACCTTTTAGAGCAGTGAGTGGTCTAAACGCCATTAGCCTCATGAGAGAATTCACCGTAGCAGACTACAGAGCCGCAGGCGTGACGCCTGACCAATGGAAGGAGTTGGTTTAGGAGACAGTTAAGACCTTGGAGCTGACAGACTCGGTGGAACGGCCTTGCGGTGCTTCGTGTACAGGGCTCTCCGTGCCATTGCTCCCTTCTGCAAGGCCCAGGAAGCACTTTGCCAACCACGGGACTTCAGGAACGTGACCCCACGGTGGGTGGAGTCTTGTTTGTTCTCTGACACTTACCTCCATTTGTTAGGAAACACCACCCCGATGTTTTGGGGATGCTTGGGCATTTCTGGGTATGGTCAGGCCCTTAATTCAGACTTGACCTACACCTTTGCCAGCCCACTGGTGGATCCTAATACCCTAATGCTTTTTCCTGCCTTTTCTATTGGGACAGATGACGAGGGCCACGCCCCTTCCACTTTCTGCCCCGAGCAAGGCATCCAGCGCCCACTGGAAAGGCTAAAGGGAGCCCCAGGCCCAACCACCGCCTTGCCTCACCGTTATCCACCACGTAGATGGTGCGTGAGTTGTCGTGGACGGACAGGTCCTTCCTGGGGACGTTCTTATTGAGCAGGTTCAGGGCCTGGTCCCTGCCCAGGCCTGACACCTTCTTGCTGACCAGCATGTCAAGCAGGTGATTGGTGATCTGCTTCAGGTCCTTCTTGGTGTCTGAGGAAGGAGAGGACAGGTGTGAGTAGGGAGGACTCCGCAGCCTTGGGTGTTTCGGGCCAGAAATAGAAGGGGCTTCCGGGACTCTGGAACTGTCACATCCGCCGCTTCCGGGATGCTGGAATTCCCCCATGAGAACATCATAGTGTCCATCCCGCCCCCCCAAAAGCGGGGACATCCCTAGACAACACTTGCAGGAGTCCTCCTCCTCTTCAAGCACTGACCTCCACACAGCCTGTTCCAGCCTTGCACAGCCCTGGGTCCTGGAAGGTTCTCCATTCCAGGCAATGACTGGCAGGGGTCCAGGGATGCTTTGTGTCATTTTTAATAAACTGGTTTGATAAGAATCTTTTCCAGAAAGGAAATTTACACTGCTCACAGACGTCTTATTCCTTGCCAACTCAGGCAGGCTCCATGCAAGCCTTTGTCCGGGATTGCCAGGTCCCCCCTGCCCACCGGAAATCTTAATAAGCAAACGCTCCGTCCCGCTTTGCCTGGTCCGGCCTCTCTGGGACTTGGAGACTCTGTTCTCCTTCCAGGTCGGAGCCCAAAGGCAGGCAAGGCAGACAGACAGCCAGGCAGAAAGCAAGGCTTTCCAGCCGTATCACAGAATCAGTGATGAAGGGTTAAGGCTGCCTCAGCAGAGAAGCGGAGACAGAAGCAGGCAGGGCAGCCTGTTTCCAGATAAAGATGTCCCAAGGGTGAGGTGACAGACCGACTCTGAGGCCACAGGGGACAGAACTGGGGCCAGAGGTGGGCAGACGCCACAGGGAGCTCGATCGGAAACCGACGTTTAGAATCTCTGAGCAGAGATGGGACAGCTCACTACCTCGCAAGGAAATCCCGGGCCCCAGCAACATTCACGCTCCAGGGCAGCCCCCTGCCGCCTGGGCATCGTCGGTCCTGTGACCCAAGCAACCAGGGGCTTGAGTGGCACTTGCACACCTGGGCCTGTGCATGGAGAATCAGTTACTTGAAAGCCCGGTGGCCCGCTAGAGAGGCCACAAGGAGGGAAACCGAGGCGCCCTGGCCAGCATCTCCGGTTAGCCACCAGCCACAGGTGTGAGGCCAGTTTGGACCCTCCGGTGATTCTAGTGCAGGGAAGGCACCGGACCTGCTGGCCACTAGGCCGGTAGGTCAGAGCCACGTCACTTCCCCGGAAGTTGGTATCTCTAATCTACAAAGAGCTCTCCTGGGTCAGTAAGGAAGCTCTGGAAAAACAGGCACCAGTCTGAGCAAGCCATTCGAAGACAAAGAAATCCAAATGGCTGACACAGATAAAGAAAAAATGATTCATCTCGCTAGTAGTTTTTTTAAATTCACACAAGACAATTTTTCTGACAAGGAAAAGATGTCTTTAAGAATGATCGTGTTCGAGGCTGGCGAGGATGATTTGAGGCCTAAACTCTTATCTTCACTTGGTGAGAGCACAAATGGAAGCACATCTCAGAAAGGAATTGGAAAGGGGGGGAGAGCACATTCGTTACGTCACGGCTTTCACCTAGCACTCCCGGGTCCCAGAATTCGTCCCAAGAAAATAATGACAAACGCAAACAGAGATTTGTCTAAAGAATGGTTACGGCAGTGTTTTACCAGCATGCAATCAGAAACGGTGTACATCTCCAGTAATATACAGCTGGCTGATGAATTATGGTACAGCCATACAATGAAACATAATAAAATTATGTATTTATTGTTTTAATTTATTTTTTAGAGAGAGGGGAAGGGAGGGAGAAAGAGAGGGAGAGAAACATCACTGTGCCGTTGCCTCTCACACGCCCGCCCGCCCCCCCCCCCACTGGGGACCTGGCCCACAACCCAGGCATGTGTGTGACCTATACTGGGAATTGAACCAGTGACCAGTACTCAATACACTGAGCCATACCAGGCAGGGCTGAAACTTTAAAAAATTATTTAGAATCAAGTTTCTTTCAGGTGAGCTGCTTCTGTGACCCTCCCGGGCAGAGCAGGAACTCCCAAAATGATGCCTAGGACCCGGGATGTGCAGGATGAAGCAGGACTGTGTGCCGTGTGTTCAGGAAGGAAACAGATGTGAAATTAATCACCATCAAAGTCAAAACGAATGTTTTTGAAGAATATTCAGTGGTGTGCCATATTAACCTAACGCTCAGGGAAGAAAAAACACAAAACTATCCATAGTCAAATTCCAATTTTGTGAAACAGAAATTTCTATGGATGGCTAGGGAAAAAAAGTTATCTGGAAGGGTAATTACAAGGTATTTTTTTCATTGTTACATATTTCTAAACTTTTCCAAATTTCTCCAATAGGCCTCTGATACTTTCTTTTTTTTTTAAGATTTTATTTATTTATCTTTAGAGGTAAAGGGAAGGAGAGAGGGAGAGAAATATCAATGTGTGGTTGCCTCTTGTGTGTCCCCTGCTGGGAACTGGCCCGCAACCCAGGCATGTGCCCTGACTGGGGATCGAACCATGATCCTCTGGTTCACAGGCCCACACTCAATCCACTGAGCCACACCAGCCAGGGCTGATACTTTCTTAAATTGTGGTAAAATATACGTAAATGCGCTTTTCATTTTAACCGTTTTTGAGCGTGCAGCTCAGTGGCTCACTGTGGTTCAACCATCACCACCACCCATCTCCAGAACGTCTTCATCTCCCAAACTGGAAACTCCTACCCAGTGAATAGCTCTTCCTGTCCTCCCACCCACCCCGGCAACTGCCACTGCACTTTCTGTTTCTATGAGTCCAGCAGCTTCGGACACCGCAGTACGTGGGATCGCACCGCGTCTGCTGTCTGTGGCTGGTTTATTTCATCTAGCACAACATCCTCAAGGTTCATCCATGTCACAGCCTGCATCAGAGTTTCCCTCCTTTTTAAAGGGGAGTAAATATTCCACAGCGTGTGAAGGACATTTTGTTCATCCATTCATCCATCGATGGACATTTGATTTGCTTCTGCCTTTAAATTACCGCACGTGATGCTGCTGCGCATCTGTTATTTTTATCATCGTAAAGTACGTGTGAATCCTGACTGGTGTGGCTCGGTGTGTTGGGCGTCAACCCGCAAACCAGTCACCAGCTCAGCTCCTGGTCAGGGCACAGGCCTGGGTTGAGGGCTAGGTCCCCGGCTGGGGGCGTGGGAGAGGCAACCAATGTCTCTCTCACACACAGTCTCACACACGTTTCTCTCTCTTTCTCCCCCCCTTGCCCTCTCCGTAAAAATAAATAAATAAATAAATAAATTTTAAAGAAAATCAGACCACCTCCACACAGAGGGAGTCCCCGTCTGAGGTGGCACCTGACCCTCCCTTGCCCGCAGCCCCTGAACGGACACTGGTCCTACCTAGAACCAGGGCCTCCTCCTTCCCACGATGCTCCCGCTTGTCCTCCCCGGTCAGAGAGTCGATGACAGCCTGGAGCAGGTTGCAGACGGCCAGAGACATCTCCTCGTTCCCCACCGCCATGAGGCTGCAGACTCGGTCTATCCGGACCGCGTGGAGAATCGCCGTGGCCTGGAGCCCCAGCAAACCGCTGTCAGCCGTGTGCTGCTCCCTTCCAGCCGCCACGCGGGGTCAGGAGTGGGAGATACCCCCCGCCACGCAGCAGGGAGCCAGTGTCTTCAGGCCCAGGGCTCAGGAGCACCCTTGACACAAAGCCATGCCCCTTCCCAGAGCTTTAGAGCCACTGGCCACACGGAGTCACCCAGCACCTGCCCTTTGGCGAGTTCACACTGAGATGGGCAGCACCTATGAAATACCCACCGGAGTTTGGAGACTTGGTGTGAAAAGGGGTAAACTGTCGAAGGCTTTGCATTGGGCTCTTCCTCCGAAACGACCTTCAACTCTGAAGGTCAGTTGTGTGGACCCATTTCCAGCTCAGAGTTAAAACACAGGAGCAATCCGGGACCACACAACCCGAGTTGGGGGGGCACTTTAGACTTTGTATCAGAGTCTGTTGATGCCAGCCACACCCCGCCTACACGTCACCCCCCAGTCCTCAGCCAAGCACCTCACACCCAGGCCCTCACCCTGGCCTGGTGGCCACTGCACATGCCCGACAGGGTGCGCACGGCCGCCAGCACCAGCTCCGGCCGCTTGGTGTCCATCAGCTGCAGAAGCAGGGCCACTCCATTGTTCTGGAAGATCCTTTCTGCCCCTGCTTCCTCACGGCCCAGAACAATGAGGTTGTTGGCAGCCTGAGAGAGAGGAGGGACAGTGAGAGTGGGAAGGAAGTCTGGCTGCCAAGGCCTCGGTCCTGGGCCAGGGGCAGGGTCCGGTTCGAGAAATGGGTCTTCCAGTCATCTTTATATTCTTTTGCCCTATGATCTTACTCCTGGAAACACAGCCCAAGAATATAAGAGTCACAAGAAAGACACAATAACTTGCATAAAGACCAGCTTCATGAAAACACAATCAGAACCCGTAGGTTCAACTCTGAACTTACGTTAACATAAAGCTGTATATATATACACTTAGGGATACGGACTTTAAAAAGGTAGAAAGTGTTAAATTAATTAAACAAGGAGGGCACTAGACCGAAGTGGCTTTAATGCCTTGGCAGCTAACCTAAGCAAACGGTGCCCAGCTAAGCCTGTAAGGCCTCAAGGTTAAGAAGTCCAAACTCAGGAACAATGAATCACAGCCCACTAGGCTTTCCCAAAAGGTGAACGGCTCGAGCTACAGCCAATCACATAATTTCCCCACTTTGCTTCCACCAGTTTCCTGTAAGTCCTTCCCCAGCTCCAGTCCCGCGCCTGACCACTTCCTGTTTTGACACTGTTTGATTCAAATTGATTTTGCCCAAACAAACGCTTAAAATTTTCAACAGGCCTCAGCTTATCTTTTAATAGAAGAGTTTTTATGTGAAGAATTATTTTCCTTGAATATGGTTTTGGCATTTTGTTTGCTGGTTTGTTTACCTGTTCAGGCTAATCTGAAGTTGCGAGAGTTTCTGCTCAGGAAGGTGGTGGGCAGAGAGAGCACAAGACCAGTCTTGAAAGCCCTGGGTATGAGTTTTGATTCTGCTACGTGCTAGCTGTGTGACCTCGGGCAAGTCATAGAACCTCTCTGGGCCCTAGATCCCAGTGTGTAAAATTAGGCAGTTGAGCTGGAAGGTTCCCAAGTGTCTTCCCACCCTAAAGCCTTCCAACTGGAGGATACATGAACCTTCCAAGGCCCAGATCAGAAGAGAAGGCGTTGAGGGGGACCCGAGACCTTCGGGTGGCGGCGGGGGAGGGGGCAAGTACTCATGAAGCAGAAGGAAGAGGAGGAGGAGAGAGGGGCAAAGAGATGGGGAGCGGGTGGATGGGAGGGGGCTGACTAGAGAATCCCAGGAGGGCAAGACTGGAAACATCACCACTCTGCCAGTCACCGGCTTTGAATTTTACCAAGTGCTTTTATCTGCAACAACTCATCAGTCTTCACAAGAGTTTGTTATAAAAGATATTTGCATATTGTATGGCCTTACCGACTACAAAGCTAACAAAAATTCCCCGGGCATTGTTTGCCGAGTCCTTACAACATTTAGAGGTTCATTTGTTTTTCCCTCTGAAAAAGGACTAGAAGGGAAAAGGGGAGAAAATGCAATACATTTGGCTAAGAGGATTAGTATTTTCATATTTCAGAATGAATTTTTGCAATGTTTTGTAATAATATAAAACATTACATCATTTTTCTCATGGCGAGGCAAGTGAGACACTCGAAATATCAAAATCAATGCGAGGAAAAAAATCTAATGAACAAAACATCAAAAATGTAAATATATGCAAGCCACCCCTGCTACATAACTGGCCTCACCCTAAACCCCGCCCTTCTTACAGTTCACATTGTTTTCTGAAGTGCTTGACCCTTGGCCTATTTTTGTCGCCGTTCTCCCAGGAGACGCCCCCACCACCCCATTCCTGCCCATCAAACTGTGCAGAGTGGAGCTGGGCCTGAATTGCAAGTAGTTCCTCCGTGGGTCCAACAGCGCCCCCTGCTGGTCCGCTGCTCGTCCTGCACTCACCTTCTCCCGTTTACCAGCTTCACTGTGTTCGTCCAGGAGGATCTCAAACATCTTCTGTACCCTCGAGTCTGTGGAGAACTGCACACGGAGCTGAGGAAGGAGGAGGGAGTGGAGAGGGAAGCAGGCAGAGGCCCATGTTCCGGTCAGCTCCTCATGAGGTTCATCTCAGTGAATATCAGGGTATCTACTTGGGCCCTGCACTGTCGTTAATTCATGCACTTATTCAATGAAAGTTTACTGAACAACTACTAGGTGCCAGACACCGTTGTGGATGTTTAGATGCTGGGCCTAGATCGTCAAACAAAATCAGGTCCTTGCCCTACAAAGCTTACAGTTTGGTCATGGCAAGTCTCAGAAGGCAAGGAATCATCACCCCAACTTTAAGTCTTGTAAACAGTTAGCTATGACACATTTAAATATGGGCTAAAACAGAAATAAGCATCCAAGATCAGAAACCGGAAGCGGTTTCGAAGCAGCTCCTTAAGCAATTACAAGTACTCTTTTAGATGTCTCACCCCAGAGTCCCACCCCAGCCTCTGTGCCCCAAAGCTTTCATAAAATGACCAAACCTATCACAGCCCCACCTCCCCAGCTCCTTCTGCACCTCCCACTACTTCCTGGTGCCGGTCCACACGCCCTCCTACATCCTTCCTGGCCTTCAGGGAAGGGAGGGGTCTCTCACACACCGCCCCTCCTCCCACCTTCCTTAGTTTGTGCTCCTTCAGCCCTGAGTCTCCCCTGTGAACAGTGGTCCCCCCATGGGGCTGCCCCAGGCACAGAGGAGTTACTGAGTCTTGGAGCCAGGAGCTGAGCGATCAGTACCCCCTCCTGCTCCAACAGAGAGGAAACTGACACCCCAGGGGGCTCCTCAGAAAATTGGCAGCTAAGGCAGGCCCAGGATGCAGAATTCCTCACCTCTGGTCCCAGTTCTCCCCACTTCACTCCATTTTCCTAGAAAAGATTTCCTCTTCCTCCTGGCTCCTGACCCTCCTCTGTCCACTACCCCACCAATACACCCTCCCTGTCCTGCCCACTCTTAGGTAACTCATGCTCCTTTAAGCTCCTAGAAAGAAAGGAATAGTTGCAGACATACTAAGTTGCAATTAAAAAACACACGCACAACCCTCCATTTGGAACATAAAAGACCCATGCTCTCGTCTGGCTGGCTCCAACACTTAACCCAGCTCGGCAGTGTCTATGGCTGCTCAAAGATGGGCGACCTGCTCAGCTGTTCTGTGGCGCCTGCCCGTGCCATGTGCTCACTCCATCCAAGGGTACGGAGGTAGGACTAGCCTCGCCCTCATGTCCTGCATCTCTGACATGCCCTTGCTAGGAATGGGCGGAGGTCGCCGACGCTTGTGGGAAGCAGTCCGGCTCACCTTCTCCTGGATGCTTGTGTTGAGCCTCCGCAATGTCTCCTGGAAGTTCTGGTTCTGCGGCTGGAGGGTGGCACAGCGCTGCACGTCCTTGAAGGCCTGGTCCAGCTTCCCCAGGTGCTCCAGGGCCTGGCATCGCCGATACAGGGCCTTGATGTCCGAGGAGTTGATGTCGATGGCTAGCGAGGGCGACAGAGGGCCTCAGGGGCCCGGGCTGCAGACCACTTCCCTCTTCCCTTGCCACGGCCCCCAGTCTCTTCCTTGGAGATTACCACCCCCCCATCTCTTGTGGACTATCTGGCCCAAGGCTCCCCTTTGTTAGGGAAAAGCTAAAAATCGTACTCTCAAGGTTGGGATGGAGTTTAAGGGTCACCTTGACCAGTCGCAGATCCCTAGAGTCTGCTGCGTGATGATCCCTGCCAAGCGTTCATCCCACCGGCGCTTGCATACCTCAAGCAGCGGGGAGCTTGCTCCTTCTCAGGCAGCCAGGCAGCTCCATCATAAAGCCCTTCCTTCCCCTTCCTGAAACATATCTCTCTGCCCTTTCATCCCAATCCAACCCTGGAACCCCCATGATGAAATTCAATCTTTCTTCCTTGTGACCGTTTTTTGCTTTTCAGGGATTTGAAGGCAGCGTTCCTCCGTCCCACCTGGGAATTGCCTTCTTTGAGCTAATTACTTCCCCTGACAGGGTGCGTTTCCAGGCCCCTCTCCAGCGGGTCCCCCCCCCCCACTGAACACATTCCAGGTTCTCTGTTTCTCCAAAAAGAGTGGCGGCAACCAGATCAAAACCCAACACAGGCCTGCAGCCAAAGAAGTCTTTCCATTTTAATCACACCCTTTAGTCCATGTTGACTCACATTTATTTTTTATGTTTATTTCTTCTAGTGTCCGTGGGCCAGGCTGGTGCCTCCCGCTTCCCCAGAAAAGCCCAGCCCCCACGGAGCCGACTGGGCTAATGGACCTGATCCTGGGAATCCCCCGGGAGAATATCCGAATTGACGACAAAGGGGGCGGGGTGTCATGACTATGACAAAGGTCTTCAGAGGCCATGTCTGAAGAAAAGAAACCGCTTCGACATATTTAACGTGTAACTCCACTTGCAAAGATGCGACTTAGGGATGAATGGCGCATCTGAAGCCCCGCCTACAACACCTAGGTTGGCCTTGACACCGTTTGTAACTCATCCAGGTGTCAAGAGCCTCTTGGACAGAACAGGGATGCTGAGGGGGTGGGGACAGGGAGGAGGGGGATGGCTCACCTCTGGAGGCGTCTGAAGCCGCCTGAACGTAGCTCCCCTGAGAAAGAGGAGGAGGAGGAGACTTAGTTCAGCCAAGTCCATTGCAGAGACAGCCTGAGAGGGTCCCCACGGGGGGTGGGGGGAAGGGGGCCTGCTGGGAGCTGCCAGCTGTCTATCCGGTTGTGGAAAAGTGGGCAAGGTTTGGAGTTGAATCGGAGCCCTGCTGCTAACAACCTGGGAGATCTTGGACAAGTCTTCAAACGCTCTGAGCCTTGAGATGCTTATCTGCCGTAGGAGCATAACAGCGGCTGCCTCAGCAGGCTGTCCTTAAAAAACACTACGCCATAACCTATGAAAAGCCCCTGGCTTGATGCCGGGCTCTGTTATGCTGGCTCCCTCTGGGGGGGCTTCTGTCTCCCCGAGGAGTGGGTCTAGGAAAGCAGTAAGAGGCACCTGTCTCCACCTGAGGGTCCAGGTGAGACGCCAGGACGCTAGAAGATGGGCAAAGCCTATCAGGACGGAGAGGCTGCCTGCCTCTGCACCCCTGCACCCCAGCCCGGCCCACAGCCCCCGGCCCTGCCCCAGACCGTTTTCAGGCCACAGGCCGCCCGGTTCCGATAGAGAGTGGCCTTCAGAGACTTATCCTTGGTCAGCTTCAGGGCCTGGCCGTAGCTCTTTGTCGCGGCCTTGTAGTCCTGGAGCTGGAAGAGCCGGTTCCCCTCCTCCTTCAGCTGCACGGCCTCCGCCTCCGCCTCCGCCATCTGTCGGGACAGGGCAGCCCCGTCTGGCCAGCCACTCACTCCAGCCCCAGGGCCGGGCTGCTGGCGTGAGGTCTGGAGCTCCAGGGCGAAGGGGAGGATTCTCCCTGGAAGGGCCCTACGCCCAGCACCCCTCCAAAATCTGTTACCCAGAAGAACATTAGAGCATTTGCTTGGAGTACAGCCCGAGTTGAGAGGGGCCTCAGAGTCCCCGTGCCTCCCTCTCTGTCCCTCCCAGCTGGGCAGACGAGGCCACCATGCCAAAGGCCTGAACTCTCCTTACAGGCCTTACAAGTTCTTGTTGATGCCCCTTCTTCCGCCCGGTCCCTAGGGAGGTCTGACGGGCTCACCTCCTCACCACAACAGTGCTCTTGGTCTGTTCTCCCGTGACAATGTTCTCCTCTCCTGTGACAAGGCTCCTCCGAGCCGGCCGGCCTCTGTCTGCCCCTCCCAGCCCCAACTCGGGAGACTTTATCACCCCTGCCAGTGGCCCCAGACCATATTTGGCCACAGGGGCAGGTGTCCCTGGAGTCTGTCATTGATACTCAGGGCCCTCCCCCTCCCCAGACTGGACAGTTGGTACCACGTGGAGATGGCGACTAACGTCTGGCCCAGCACCCTGCTCAGGGGCAGTTCTGGGGCTCAGGCACTCACACCACGAAGAGTGAGAGAAAAATCCAGAAGGTACGGGAACCCCCAGCAGACCTCCTTCCCCAGGCACGGCTATTGCGCCCTCCATCCGGGGGGCACAGCCTCCTGTCCCTCCTCCAAACAGCTATTTTGGGAGCGGAGCGACAGCTGAGAGGCTGACAGACTGGATGCACAGGGCAGCTGCCCAGGTCCCGGAGGAGCTGGAGGCCTCCAGAAATGCCCTTCTGGAGGGAGGAGGGGAGAAGAGGAGGAATGTTCTTTCCCTCTTCTGCTTGTCCACAGCTTTCCTATCCCTCTGGCATTCGCTTGTTGAAAATGCCCTTGCTTTCCAGAGAGACGGGGAGACTCGTTAACTCAGTTTAATGTAAGTGGTTCGGTTTCGGTCTGCACGTCTCCTACTTCTCCCCACTCAGCCCACCTCTGCTGTCTGGCCGGGAACTCCCACCAGACCGAAGTCTCCTCTCCAAGAGCTGGGTCAGCCCGGCCATCCCCTGGAAACCAAGGCCTGCCTGTACCCTCTGTCTGCCTGGGAACTCTCCTGGCACCAGCCGAGCCTCCCACATCAGAAGGGGGTCTTCCTGGGAGAACTGTGTGCCCACCCCTAGAGAGGACACCTAGGGTGGGGCAGGACTTGTTTCTCCCCATCCAACTGAGGGCTCCCGAGGCAAACGTGGGGCGTTGTCCCCAGGTTGACTCAGAGCTCTCTTGCCTTTCAAGGACACTCAGTGTCTCCAAGCCTGGACTCTGGGTCTCCTCTCCTCAGCATCTCATGCAGTGGGACTTCCCCTGGGCAGAGCCTGGCGAGGTCAGTGCCCAGTGTGGATTTCCTGCCTGGATGCACAGATGAATGGAAGGTGTCCACACGCGGATGCTTTGGTTCACTTTCCACCATTGTGCCCCCCGCCCGTGCACCATTAGACTTAGCCGACCGGGGCGAGAAGGACACTGAAGAAAAGGCAAAGGAGGGTTACCCACACTGGGTCCTGCCCCTGGCTCCGTGACCTTGAACACACAGCTATGACTTTGGACAAGTTCTACTGCATGCTGGACACAAGGCCCATCCCTGCTGCATGTTTGTCCAGTGTCAGTTGTAAAAGAAAGGATGGATGGATGGGTGCATCCCTGAGCTCAGGGTGTCCCCAGTCCTGGGCCCCTTTGTGGGGCAAGTTTTGTGTAGCAAAGAGGTAATATGACAAAGGATTCCGCCACCAGCAGAGAACTGCAGTCCTGTGTCTTTACATCCAGCGAATCCCAGGTATAAAGCCTGATCCAGTCGTTCATTCCACAAGCATTTCTGAAGCATCCACTACGGGCCAGGAACTATGAATGGTCACAAAAATGAAGAACACTCCTGAGGACAAGGACCTGTGTCTGTTCTGTTCACCCACATACCCCAAGTGAGTGCCTCTAGTAGTATGTGGCATAGATAGTAGGTGTTCAACAATATTTATTGAATAAACAAATAAAATAATTCCATAAATCTGCCACTTTAAATATGAGGAATTCCTGGATGTTTTGAAGACATGTAAAGGGACCGACACCGCTTTGGAGGATGTTTCCCCGCGTGATTACAGGAGTTAATATACAGGGAGCTCCTAGAACAAGGCCTGCTGGACAGTGAGGCTCAACACACTTGCAGAATGAATGAATGAATGAACGAATGAATGAATGAATGTTTAAGGATCGACCTACAGTGTGAGAAACTGGTATCAGTTTGCTAGAGCTGCCATAACAAAACACCAGACTGGGCAGCTTAAACATCACATCTCTGGAAGCTGGAAGTGTTCAGATCGAGGTGCCATCGGGTTGGTTTCTGATGGGACTTCTCTTCCCGGCTTGTAGCCAGCCAGCTTCTGTCCGTGTCTTTGCCTGGCCGCTTCTCTGTGCGAACGCAGGGAGAGCGAGCTCTGGCATCTCTGCCTCTTCCCGGAAGGACACCAGTCCTGCGGGGTCAGGGTCCCAGCCTTATGACCTCCCTTAACCTTTACGACTTCCTTACAAGCCTTGTCTCCAAATACAGTGACACCAGAGGGCAGGGCTTCCACACACGAATTGGGAGTTTGGGGGGACACAGTTCAGAACATAACATTTCCAGACAGAGAAAGCCACAGGCGAGAAAGCGCTGATGCCGGAAGGGGCATGCCTTGGAGGGACTAACAGAAAGCCAGAAGATTGGATCTTAAAGAGAGAGGCATGGCTGAGGGGGTAAGTAAGGCTGGATGGACCCTCATAAGGAGTTTGAATTTTTCCCTGGATGTCATGGGAGCCACTGCAGGGTTTGGCCGGGGGGGGGGCAGAAACAGACCGGATTTTGGGTTTGAAATCATCACCCTGGTTGCAGTGCGGAGATCGCATAGGAGGAGGCGAAAATAAAAACAGGGAGGCAAGTGAAGAGAGGGCTTGGGAAACCAGAGGACTCAGAGCCAAGTGTGGCCGTGGCGGTGCAGAGAAGAGAGCCGGCGGCTGACCCGGGACTCGGGGGCCGAGGGGCGGGGCAGGGGAAGGCGGAAAGGGAAAACCCAGGTTTCCTCGGGCAGCACCCCTGTTCTCCGTTCTCCGCCTCGGGCCCTCGGTTCTCTGTGACTGGGGGAAAGGGCTGCTGTGAGCGGTAGGGGGCGTTGTAAAGCACTCAGAACGATGCTCCACACGTCGTGGTCACTGTCACTGTTGCTATTGCTTTACGGTGTCGAGAACCGTAGGCATTTTCTGCCTTTGTAGTCATCAGATGTTTTTAATCGATTTAATCCATTTTAAAAAGGGAGATAAGGGGAAAAGGGTAGGGGGAGGCTGAAGAGGTTAGAGGAGGTCCACTATACGGTGACGGAAGGAGACTGAACTCTGGGTGACCAGCGCACGATGCAACATACAGATGATAATATCGGACACTTGAAACTTACATAATCTTAGTAACCAATGTCACCCCAATAAATTTAATTTTTTTAAACAGTGACCTATTTCCAGGCAGGTAAAGTTACAGGGGTTTTTATTCTACGCAAATATTCTATTTTTGTGTATTCTAATTTTTCTAAATAAACATGTACAATACAAATGTAATAAAAGTAACTTTTTCAAATTAAAAAAAAAACATTTCTGCCTTCCACCCAATAGCCCTCAGTTTGTTTGTAAGTCATCCCCTACAGAGCGCTGGTGCCTGGAGCCTGTTTAGTCTGCCATTTCTGTGGTCTCCGGGAAAACCAACCGCTCAGAACCTCGATTTCCCCATCTGTAAAGTGGGGCAAGAATCCCCGTGCTGAAGAGTCAAAAGGCCGTTTGCATCTCTCAAGGCGCTCGGAGAAGATCGACCGTGGCGTCAGCGAGCTGTCCAACGGGAGGTGGGTACTAAAGTGAGTCCGTTCCGAAGGCTGGAGGCCTGGCGCGGCGCGACACTTTCCCTCCAAAACACCAGAGGGCAATGTCTCCGTCTGGGGCACCACCCGACCACGGGGGCGGCGCTCTGTCCCCCAGAGTCTTTCTCCTCCACGTGGGGACGCGGGATGGCGGCGGCGGTGGCGGTGGGTGTGCGTGAATGCTGGCGGGGCCGTGGCGGCCGGGCTTTGGAGCCCCAGGCCCACGATGCGGGAGGGAGGCGGAAGCGGGGACCCTTCTGTCCCAGCCGTGTGGCTGACGCCTGCTGCGCTTGTTGGCGCAGGACGAGGCGGCGGCGCGCGACGTGCAGCGGCTGCTAGTGCAGTTCCAGGATGAGGGCGGGCAGCTGCTGGGATCCCCGTTCGACGTGCCGGTGGACATCACCCCGGACAAGCTGCAGCTCATATGCAACGCGCTGCTGGCCCAGGTGAGCGGGGGCCGGTGCCGGCCGGGTCGGGCCCACAGGGCTCAGGAGACCCAAGGGCCGCCCACCATTCGTCCAGCCGGCGTTACACCCGGGGCGAGTCCCTGGAGTGTCACTTACCCGGGGGAGGGTCGGAAAGATGCCTGGGTGTGAGAGCGCTTTACATACCGACCATCGCGGTCCACGAGCATTGTCAAATGATTCCTCGGCCCCGCCCCTGATTAATTATCACCATGTTACAGTGCGCCTGGAGGCATTAAGTTATTCGCAAGATGCTACGCAGTCGATGTTGGATTTGGAATTGGAACCCTAAAATGTCAGACTCCAAGCCCTGTTTTTTAAAGTTCCAAACCAATGTTTTTAAAAGGTTGCCCTTTGTAGGAGTGGGAGGTGCTTAAAATTGCTATACTTGGACTCCACCCCTGACTTACTACACCAGACCCCGGGGCGAAGCAGAGTATGCGTTTCCAAACAGGTTTTTGCCTGCTTTTAAACACATTGTACAGCATGGTGTGGTGGCTTGGAAAACACCGCATAAGGGTCTATAGTGGTCTTGGACTTAGTGCTCTTCTTAAAGAACACTGAAGAATCTGAACTAGTCATTAGCAATAGGATGTTGGGCTGATTACTTAGTTGCTCAGAGCCTCAGGTTTTTTTCCTCTATCAGGTGGGAACATGAATGACTGCTCCCAGGGCTGGTAGGCTGCAGATAAAGGATTTTAAAGTGCTTTATAAGCACTTCACAGTTGCTCTTCAAGGATTAAAAAGGTCGACCTCCATGGGGAATGATGGGGGGACAGTGACTCCAGCAGTATGGCTGAAAAGAGGGAAGCTGGACCTCCCCATAGCTCACTGGGCAGAGCCTCCCTGGTGCGATGGCTCCTGCCCAGCTTTTGATGGGGGAGTTGCCCTTTGCCGTTGCCCTCCAGGAGGATCCCCTGCCACTGGCTTTCTACGTCCACGATGCGGAGATTGTCTCCTCGTTGGGGAGAACG